ATTTTAATATTAATGATCCCGGCCGCAAAGCCGCCTCTAAGCCTCCAACAGGTGCCCCAGTCGCACTCGAGTCTGAAAAACTGGGATCATTCAACGCCCCACTATCCACCGCCACCACCACCGCCGGGCAATGAAGACTACAAATGAGGAGGATGACGGCAAAGACGAGGGGAAAGCACGTTTTAAAAAGTGGAGAGAGAGAGAGAGAGAGACTCAGTCATCTCTTGCAAACAAGTTTTTGAGTCACTTTCCCCAGCTGAAACACCGGTCGATATTCCCCCCACCCCTTGAGAAAGAGATTGACTTTTGTTTGGAGTTTGTGAGAAGTGGGAATCAGAAGCGGGACAATGGGACTCCCCACAGTGAGAGGCTGAGAGGAGCCATCTCAAATCAGTCAGCCAGAGGACTGACTAATCCGTCCATTGTCCCTCCCCAGCCACCGGCCGCACATCAACACATTCGCCCCCCATTGTCCCCCACCCTCATGCAGCGGGATTTGCTCTCCCCAACAGCCAGTTTTGTCCACGGCAGTTCGAGCGGAAGTTTCTCACTGACAATTTGCCCCAAATAGATTTGTCAGAGCGTCCAACTGCACCGCACCGACTTGTGGGTCTGCAGGTCTGGGTTCTGGGTCTGGGTTTTCTTGGTGGCCTTCTTCCATTCGTAGGCCTTTGCGCGTGCGCACGAGTCTGCGTGTGTGTGTGTGTGTGTGTGTGTGTGTGTGTGTGTGTGTGTGTGTGTGTGCGTGCGTGCAGAGGTGTGTCTGGGTGTGGATTACGCACCAGTGAAGGAGATGGTAGGACTGGGGTAAAGTCACTGGTGTGGTGTTCCTGAGGCACTGGGATCCCTCCTCACTGGGTGCACCGTGATTTGTGAGAACGTCGGACACCTCTGTAACCTCCTGGGCCACCGACGCCGCTGGGAAAACTCTTCTGATCTCTAAAAGAGTTATAAAATCGCAATGTAAAAATACTGCCTCAGAAATCATCCACGTAAAAGCATAAGTGTGTGAGTGTAACCAGGAGAACATACTTCAAGTATAGAAGTAAAAGTAATCAATGCGGAAAGTGTGACATTAATAATGTTACATCCTAACATTGTTGACTTTTGTTTAATAATGATATGTGATTATATTGTATTCAAATAGCAGCTATTGCTGTTTAAAGTGGAGCTAGGTATTTTGGACTGCACCTCATGATAATTTTCAATACGGATCATTGAGTAATTAGTTTATTCATTTTTTGTGTCTCACCTTTACAAACAATAGTCCCCAAAACCTCAAAATGTTTAAGAATAGATCAAAACTTGAATAGTTAAAAGTCATAGTCATAGATTCTAACATCTGAAAAGCACCATGAACTGTTTGACCTTATACCACCACTTGGCACCAGAAAATTAAAAAACATTAAAGGCCATTCGTCAGTAGAAGCTTGTAATCTCATGTGTTATCTTGTGTTATGACCAACAAACAATGAGTTTGAAAGGAAACAGTTCAATGGGTTTGTTTATTCACTGAAGCCAAGTTGTTAAGTTGAAAAAGGCACACCATCATATATCATCTTCTATTACTGGACCAATAATAGTCAAATTATTGTATTTCACAAGGTCAAGCCAATGCTGCTTTCCATCGAGTCCTCAGTTCATCATAACAGGGAAACACATCACAAATACCATTTCAGGTTCCATCTGAAAGACAGAAGAATACTTTGTTTCTCAGTAGAACAAATTTCTAATATTATATGTTAATGATTAAGCTTTCAAGGGCTTTAATTAAGGACAGTGTATCTTAAATTTTTCATTAGTTTATGAAGTAAAAGGCTCATACCATCTCATGTGAGAGCTTTGAGCAAAAGAATGATTACTGAATAAGGAAGAACGGTCGAGATCACACCCACGACGAATAACAAAGGTTCTATCTGTTTATCAGCCCTAAAACACTGACTCCATGCGGTAAAGATGAATTGATTTAAATACAAAGATTTTACATTTAAACTCAAACGAACGTAATAGAATTTTAACTGCATCTCCACTGAATGTCTTTGAGTAAGCAGGCGAACAGGTGACCCTCAATGACTCCTGATGCAGAACTCTCCGTGGTGCTGAAATAAAGCTGCCAATTTTCCCCTTTTTTGGAAAGTATAATCTTTTTTTTTTTTCTTTAGACTATTTTCAAGCATTATTCAGGAGATGTTCACATCTTCTTGTTTGTAATTTTGTTGAAAAAAAGGGGTCCACTCCATCATCAAAAGAACCTGCGGAATGATTCCTGAGCCGAACAGCAGCGGTGTCTGTGGGACGCGAGACGACCCTGATCTGCCCGGTCAGGTCTAAAGGACGCATGGTTGCGTGGGTCTTTGGCCGCCTTGAATTCTCCCCATTATTTGCTCTCTGGAGCTTTGTGACTTCTCCGTAAAGCCCATTGGTTTACGCCCGGTCGGTTTAGGGGGGCCTGATAGCGGTGCATAAAAAGATAGTTAAACACCGGCATCCATTTGGGGACATTCTGTAGGAGAGACAATCATGTATACTGCAAATAGCAAAAACAGCCATCCCAATTAACGAGTGTATTGTTATTATAATTTCCCCATGATTGAAATGCAATACGTTGTTTCTTCAGGTGTTTATCTGACTTCAATTCATTTCAAGACATTTGGAGGCCACGCATTGTTTTGGAGTGACTTGTTGGACTCTCACTCGTTTCTCCTTGTTTAAGTCTGTCCCATGGCATGTCAAGTATCTGCATACTGTTGCTGAGCCCCCCCCCCCAAAAAAAAACAGATACACAATCCACTGGCGCCTTTGTAAACGTCATTTCATTGACTGTTGGAGTAGAAGAGAGTCACTAATACAAAAAAAGTGAAAGAAGGCAACCCCGGCAACCATGATGTTGGTTATATTTGTGTAAAGGCTATCAGTGAATGAGGAGGATTAGGACGAGTTAAGGAGATTATGTCACACATTCACCATTCACTCCCCCCCCCCCCCTCCCGGCAGCCACCCACACGAACACACACATGTGCACACACTTAAAAATGACTGAAAATGTCATGGATCTGTGAGAATGTACACACGGTTTCTAGGGTTTGAGTTTAAGATGATTTAAGTTGATTCTGCTTCTTGCCGTGTTTAGCATTTCGTTTCGAAAAGGAATTGTCAATAAAACGGGTGGTCGTTAACTATGACAAATGATTCTTTGAACTCTAAAAGAGTCACTCTAAAAGAACACATTTTTATTTCTATTTATTAACAACGCTTGGTTGTCAACTTTTAACAGGTTGTTTTGTGGCCCCATTATAAAAGTGTATTTTAGCCTTTATTGTGTGAACTATTTAGAGAAAGTAAAAAAAACACACAATATAAACCTCCAATGGAGGACGCGGCTTTCTGTGAGTCCTCGCGGGGAAATCAGAGGAATATTATAGTGATTTCTCCTCAGGCTTGTTAGTCTCCAGCCTAGGCTGTTCAAGGGAGGGCTGAAAGACACAACAATAGCTGATTGCAATTAACTACGCCTCTCCGCCTCGCCCCTGTCCGCTTAAATCGACACTTTGTGAGTCCATATGGCCTTTAGTGTACCGTGGGAATGAACACAATTAAAAGCAGAATATGGATTTCTGGAGTTACCCAGCAAAAACGCAGCAAGCTGTCAAGGTCGGGGTGTCAGTGAGCGGGGCCCTGCAGCCCGACCCCGACCCTCTGGACCGCCGGGCACGGGTGATGGGAGGTGTGCATCATCAGCAACTGTAGCCGTGCATGAGACAGTTGGTAAATTGATTACTGGATGTGAAGGCATTGCAGAATACATTTGTATCTGATGATGTACTTTTTTGATTTATTTTTGTTCCCGGACAAGATGTGATGTAAATGCACTAATTGACTTTTTATTCTGTATGTATTTATTTTATTAACGTTTGCTAAAGTCATATTGTATAAAATGCAGAAGGGGTGAAAGAGATTGTTGTTCTTTTTTTAACCATATTGTGTAAAATTGGGCCTTTCATGCAAAAAAATTGTTTATCACAGGAGCCTCACAGTGTGTGTGTTTGTATGTCTGTCTGTCAAATTAAAGAACTTAACATCATAATTTGAAGGCAAATCCTTTAAAGAGACACTCTTAAATTACCCCAAATAACAGGCTTAACACAGGCAACATTAGAAAAACACAGTGATTAGCGGAGCATTAAAATGAGCTTTAAATTAACACATTGACAAAGGAAAAGAGAAATTGCTGACGAACAACAACCTTAGACATTTTGAATTAAAATGGATTCTGTAGCAGTTTTAATATGTTATAGTATAACAAGGATCCAATAAATCTCTAACGTAGCCAAAAGGAGAAAAAAAACAATTTATTCCTCAGCTGCTGTGACAAAGTGTCTCCGACACACTCACACAGACACAGAGCATTTATCAATCATCTGAATGACTGCACGTGTAACCAGACAGACGTGAGGAGCATTCAGACTCATAAAAACGCCATGCTTATTGTTAAAACAATATAAATAAGTGAACCTGGTATGGTTTATGGTCATAGGTTTTCGGCAGCAACATCTTAAATTAAGATCATTTTACTTTTAAATGTCCAATATGCAATGGGATATTTGTAATTGTGTATTCTCTTAAAGTGTATTTCGGCATTTTAATTGGTAATTGGGAGAATTGCCGAAATAAATGAATCTGGCGTTTTAAAAAAAGTGAAAAATGTAACAGAAAGTATGCGCGCAACACGTGTTTTCTTTCTCTTTTTTTGTTGCTTGCAACGCCTCTTGATGCATGAGCACTGCCCATCACTTGAACACACATTCACACGATCACACGCACACACACACACACACATACACAACCCCACTCGCTCACACGCCAGTGACGTCAGGCTGGAGTTTGGAGTAGAAAGCCAAGTGGATGAAGGAAGTGGAGATCTCCACCCTCCAGCCTCCTCCTGACACATCTCATAAATATTACCAAGGCGTATTTCGCGGATCTGGCACCACAAAGTCACATCGTGTCCTGTTTGTTTTGGGGGGGTTTAGCGCACCTGTCAGAATATCCGAAACAAGATTATACTCTTTTCTTTTTTGCAACCGGTTTGGCACCGTCGGATGCGCTGCAGGCTGTGGTGTTTTTTTTTGTTCTCCAACTCCCAACTTTTAACACCGGGCTGCTGCTCACAGAGCTGCGGGGCTGCTGTGGCCGTCAATTGGTCGCCGCACACCGGTTCACCTTCCGCACGGAGACCCCCCGCCCCCCTCCCCCTCCCTGCACACCGGAGGCGAACATTTTGCCCGTCGATTAGAAATGGTCATCAGCGCGTGCTAATTGGGGCTCGTCGATCTGCGATCGTGTCCGTCAAGTTGGGCCGGTCGGCACGTTGACTTATCGATCTCGTCGCCGCCGGTAAAAAAAAAAAAACGCTGCCGTGGCGCGAGTTTGATATTGTTTTTGTCGGCGAGAAAAAGAAGAGAAAAGAGGACTTTTTTTTTTACTTTGTTATTAAGGTCGAGTGTCCACGATGAGCAGCAAACCCGCCGGCTCAACAAGTGGCTGTCTGGATATTCTGAATGTCAAATCAAGTAAGTGTTCATTTCCCTGATGCTCCGTGGAGAATATGGAGTGTCCCGGTAGAACAAGAGGTCTGTGATGGGCCTGTTCTGTGTGACACGGGGTGCAGAAACACGAAGACTCGTTGATGAAGTGGGTTCGTTCCTGTGAGTGGTGATCCGTGGGGGGAGAAACACCCGCAGGGAGCTGTGCAAAACGTGTGTGCAGGACCGGTCGTTAAAGCGGCCTCACTTTGACACCCCTTACATATGATACGTACTTTTTTGGGGGAGGGGGGGGGGGGTGTTAACCAAGTTTTTCAAAACGGAAAATAAATAATATCTATGCTGCAAGATGCAACACGTTGCCTGTAACGCTGTTTTACAGCAACTTGTATGAAACTACGAGATCTGAAGCAATATTTGAGAGAGTTGTTAAGATATTCGTACGTTACTGCATTGCTATATTAGATTAATTAAAATCAGAATCCATCTGTCTATTAACGTTTATTTGGGTACAACTTTGAAAAGATGAAAAAAATACTTAATTAAATAAATTAATCACTAATGGTTCAATGGTTTTAAATTAAGTTATATAGTATTTTTTGCTTGTCGTATCAAGGTTTGAAATTATATTTAGGTTTGAAATTATATTTGATTGTTGTATTAAACTTAGCAGTTATATCTCTACTGGGCCCCACCATCATTTTAAATTTAAATCTCAGTAAGATAAAGGCTTAAAAATAGTTTATCGTTGTGTTACAAACGTAGAATATTTCTATTAATTGTGCTCGTGTTTCTCCACACGATTTATTCACTCAAACTGCTGCTTTTGTGTTTTTTATCCTTTAATTGCTTACATATGATGAGATAATAACCAAAAATAATAATAGTACTAAAATAAAAACACCACAGAATTACAACTCCTGTCATCTTAGTTCTCACATACACACATTATGGGTGGCCAGTAAAAACATTTACATCAAACTTTACTTCGTTCTTCTGGGCCATGATGGTGATTACGTTAATAGAAAATGCCATATATCTTCTAGCTATTACCCAACACAATGGAGACGAATTGGACCCCCACAGCGGGGAATTAAATACATTTCCCCCCTTCACAACAAAATTATGCGCCATTTTATTTAATTGACCCTCATCAAACTACAGTCTTAAATAAGATAAAAGCTTTGAGTTTACTTTTTGGGGCATGTTCTTTCATCTGCAATTTAAATTCTGAGAACTTGGGGGGCGCGCAAATGAACTTGACTTGTCCAGCGTCAGTTGATTAAATGTGTATCTGTAATTTACTTTAATAACTGCTGTCCGATTTATTTCATTCATTAAAAAAATGATGGACTCTACAGATAATTAAACGTGGGGATATAAAGTATTCAGGCCTACAGGAGTTAGTTTTTGTAACTACTGCTGTGATGAAAAGATGACTTTTAACAGGCCAAACAAACTTCAGTTCAAGACACAAATGCTAAAAAGTTGGTTCTCTCTCTATTTTATTGCAATTACACGGCTGTGGCCAACAGTTAAATAGCTCCTGATTCTTAATAATCTGCCAATTGAAGCCCTATAAGTCTCCTCCTGAAGTCATTGTTTTTGCCTCTCAGTAGTTATTCCCATGCTACCCTTTTTGACGGGTCACTGGTGAATCAATGAGCAGGTGGCAAAACGTCAGTGTAATTACATAGACGGCTTTTCCCTCCAGAATAAAAAAAGACTCGAATTTACATACAAATATACTTCTTTTTTTAATAGATTTGAATACAACCCCCCCCCCCCCCAAAAAAAAGAAAAATCACATTTTTTCATCTATACCGGGGTCGATTTACATACACTTCATTTGAGTTGGTGAAACGAGTTGGTGCGCATTATTCTCCCGGTGCAGTGTCACTCCCTAATCCTGGGGCCTATAGACCTGCGGAATAAAGCAGCTGTCGAGTCCCATTATGAAGGGGAGTTGGCAGCTTGTCGAGATCCAGGCAGTCAGACGAGGTTCAATGGGGGAAAATCATTAAGTTAACACTTTCCCCTAATGTCTCCATTGTGCCGCCTCGGGCCATTGTTTTAGAAAGCTCAGATATGACGCTTCCCACCGGACTTTATTCTTGAAATGTGCGCCTTGAATTCCCATGCTCGGCCGAAGCGCGGGACTCTGTCCAGTGTGCGCGCGCGCGTTTGTGTGTGCGCGCACCTGTGTTTTGCGGGTTGTTTGACGAGAAATAATTCATTAGTAGGGCTCTTTTTCTACAGCTCCACAGCGTCTAAAACCAGTTAATCTTGGGAGATTAACTGTCCGTCCACAGGGTTAATTTACTGAGAAACTCAGTAAAAGTTTTGTATCAACTTTGTAAATTGCTCTTACAGTGTATCCAGATGTTAAATATTACTACATGGAATATAATCCGGATTTGACACGACATGTCATTCAGTGAACGGTGTCTAAGTCACGTTTGGGCCGTTCTCAGGTCGGATTCTGGACATCCCATGCAAAGTGTGCGGAGACCGCAGCTCGGGGAAGCACTACGGCGTTTACGCCTGCGACGGCTGCTCGGGATTCTTCAAGAGGAGCATCCGGAGGAACAGGACGTACGTCTGTAAATCTGGCTCTCAGGTGAGGCCCCTCTTCTTATTTATGATATAGCCTAAGTTAACGCACGTTGCCGATCTGTGCTTTCCAACACAGGAGTGTGTTGCAATAGTGCAAACTTCACAGGTACATTTATTGATTGTGTCGTTGTGCATTCTTTTTTTGGGGGGGTCAAGCAACTAGCAGAGATAACGTTACATCCAATCGGGAAATGCAGTGAGTGATACCTAAAAAAATATTTGAAATTTGACCCGCTTTACGCACGGAATGCGCAGATTTGTTTCTTTTTTTTTTCGTTATGGCACCGTGTTTAATCTGATGAGCCTAATTGTCTCATGACGGCACCATTACGTATCTGGCTAAACATTGATCTGCTGTAACATAGCAGATGTAATCCAATCCGATGCGATGACTGGATGGCGAGGATTTAGGCAGCAGAGGGCGGGATAGAGTTCTACTCGTGCTCCGAGACGAGGCCGCGTAGAGCCGCATGGGAGCAGGTCAATAACTCCACCATAATGGCTCCACCTCTCTCCTGGAGACTTTACCTCCCAGTTAGATAATATGATGATGACAGGAAGTCAATTTATTCTTAATTTCTCTCTCTTTCTCACTGACAGGGTGGCTGCCCTGTGGACAAAACCCACAGAAACCAGTGCCGAGCGTGCCGTTTGAAAAAGTGTCTAGAAGTCAACATGAATAAAGACGGTAAGTTGCTCTAATCAAATCATCATTCCGCATGAATAAGTAACAGGTTGATAGGCTACATTATCTTTGTTTTTAATGGGGAAGAACAAAATATTCACTTTTACTTAGTTTCAGGTATGATATTCAGCTCAATAACATAATTGACTATGTTGTGCATAAAAAAATATATACATTTATATATAAAATATACCTTTTTTCCTAAATGTCGCGCTTCACAGCCGTTCAACACGAGAGGGGACCCCGGACTTCCACTATCCGCAAACAAGTCGCCCTATATTTCCGAGGCCATAAAGAGGTGAACGGATCATCGACCCATTTCCCGGGATCCTCTCTGTCCGGCCCCCCTTTCTTCACCACGGTCACTCAACTGGAGCCTCACAACCTGGAGATGAGCGCAGTCGCCACCACACCGGAAAGACAGGCCATCGTGGGTCTGGCACAGCCCACCCCCAAGGTATATTTTGTACGTTTTTTCTCTTTTCTAATATCTAACATCTTGTAAGTAGTTTTCTACTTTGAAGAAATTTATTTACCATTGTACAAATACATCTGTGTTTTCTTGACAATTACAGAATATCTTTATTACAGCCTTCTAAAATGTTATTATGGGATTACAACTTTCTCCGAAAGAGTTAGAAGTTGAAATTCTTGTCCTGCTTTAGCAGCAAATCCTCCTATTTCTTACTGTAAATCCACCACAAGTAACACTAATGATTATAAAACCAGGTGCTCAGGCTTGGAATTTGACCTTTGTTTTTCACCCCACTATAAACTATATACGTTTAATTTCACTTAACCTCACTTCCAGTATCCCCATGAAGTCAGCGGCACCCCCCTGTACCTCTACGAGGTGGCGACGGAGTCCGTGTGCGAGTCAGCGGCGCGCCTCCTTTTCATGAGCATCAAGTGGGCAAAGAGTGTTCCCGCATTCTCCACCCTCCCCTTATCGGATCAGGTACGTTTCGGAAACCCCCAAATGACCCTTGTAGGAAGAACCAAGAAAAATGGCCACCAGTCAATTTGGTCCGCAGGCGATAGCGAAGATATTTTGACTTGATACCATTTTAGACTTCAAGGTATTTTTACATTGCCAAATGCCACAGAAGAAAATGTCCAGTATTGTAGTAATTCCCGCTGCATTGGTGCCTTACAAGATCCAAGAATGCTTGAAATCAATCAATTTCTTTTTCTTGGTGTGCAGTTTAACACAATCATTCCTCCCTGCAGCTGATTCTGTTGGAGGACGCTTGGAGGGAGTTGTTTGTTCTTGGCATCGCGCAATGGGCCATTCCGGTGGATTCTACCACTCTTCTTGCCGTTTCTGGTACGTCAACAAGGCACCAGAAAGCTCATCTCACTACAGGCCAACTGACTGGGCCTGTGTTGACTGTGACAATAGGGGACTGCATGAAAGGTTGTCCTGCATGATGACATGTTCTCCTCAATCATTCGTAGGAATGAACACGGAAAACACTGAGTCTCAGCGGATGAATAAGATCATATCCGAGATACAAGCACTCCAAGAGGTGGTGACCAGATTCCGACAGATGCGTCTCGATGCGACGGAGTTCGCCTGTTTGAAATGCATCGTGACATTTAAAGCTGGTGAGTGCTTCTGTCCCATTTGTCGTTCATTTAACTGAACTTATTGGTAAAAAGTACTTTACCGCAAGTTACTACTTCCATCAAAAGTGCACTGAAGCTTCCGCTGACAAAACTCAAGACAAATAAGAGCAAAAGACATGCTGTTCAATGCATGTACGGGATTTATTTTGATATCTAAAACGCTTCCTCCGTCTTGCAGTTCCGACCCACGGCAACACCGAGTTGAGAGGTTTCCGCAACGCCAGCGCCATTGCAGCACTGCAGGACGAGGCACAGCTCACCCTCAACAGCTACATACACACCAGGTAAAATCACATCTATCGCCTATATGCTGAACTTTCTCCTGCAGGTATCAGCAGCCAGATTATAAAGCAGTTTTTGACCCCGAGTGGTGCGTTTCAGATACCCGACCCAGCCGTGCCGCTTCGGGAAGCTGCTCCTGCTGCTGCCGGCGCTCCGCTCGGTGGGCCCGTCCACCATAGAGGAGGTGTTCTTCAAAAAGACTATCGGCAACGTTCCCATCACCAGGCTCCTCTCCGACATGTACAAGTCCAGCGACATATGAACTCTCGCCAGGCGGAGAAGACTTGAAGCTGAAGGCCCGGAGACCCTCGCCGCATTCAACAGAATGTCAAATCTTAAGCAGGTGTAACTGCGGGTTATTGGCGAGCACAACATCCCTTAAGGCTGTCTTGAAAGGGCCTATTGAGGTCCAAGCTCGGACTGCAACACAGCCAGAATTCAGCCAGTAGCCCGTTAACAGTCGCTGTAGTTAAAGAATAGCCTGTAACTTTGATTAAAATTCCCAGTGAACAGCCGGTAGGGGCACAGGCAACACACACAAGAGTTTAAATATCGCCTAAAGACCCCGGAGAGCATCTGCCAAGTAGGTCTGATAAAGAGATCTTGTATATTACGTTTTTTTGTTTTTTTTCCCCCCCGAGTGTCGGTGAGACCAATGAGCTTGACGTCAGTCAGTCAGTCTTTTAACGCTGTGATCGACCCCAGTGGAGGGAACCAAAAGAAGAAAAAAACTGATGACGCACGCGCGACCGGGGAGTGTGAATCGCCGTCCCTCGATCTGGTGCTGAAACCAAACGCGCGGGGCGGACAAGAAGAGGCGCCAACTCCATGGAGCATTAGAGTTGAACGTACTTTTAAAGGATATGCTTGCGTTGCCTCCAGACTGTCAAACGGCGCTCGCCCGAGGAGGGCGTTTGTGTTTAAAAGTGGTAACTGTCCTTTTTGTGTCGGTGCGTCCTGTTTGAGGCGGTTTTAGGTCGACTTTTTGAAGTTAGCCACTAACACTGGATGAAAAATGTTCAGCACTTGGAAATGTTTTTTGTGGATTGTGATGTTTTTATCATGTTGTAAATATTTGGAGTTATAACTATTTAGTTGTCGACGAGATAATAAAAAAAAACACTGAATTGAACTGCTTTTAAATAACATGGCTGTAAACCACCAGCTGAAACATGACGGCCAAATAACAAAGATGCTTCTATCAGATGTACAGTATCTAGATATCAAGATTTCCCATTAACACTATTTAATAGTGGCACATGTAATGAAATGAAAAAAATATCATGTATAAGAAATTATCCATGCTATGAGTTCATGCAACTAGAAGGCTAATCAGACCATCATAATTTAGGCTAATTCAACATTAACCATCACTATTTATTTTCCATGAAGTGTGACTTCTTCATATTACATTGATCTGTTACTGAAACTCATTTAGAAGTAGCATTTCTTTTTTGAAACAGAATAATTAACTCGTATTGGACATAGTGGTTTGTGATGAAAACATCAGATCATGTATTCATTGAATAAGTAATGTAATAATACATTTTGGGGGTTAGCTGGAATAGTTGTGGCAGCTTGCTTGTTTAAAAGGTCAACAGTCCAAACCAACAAATGTGATTATGCAGACATTTCACCTATTTTATTGGAAAATCTTCAAAATAAACAAAAATGGCACAGCAGTATACAAATCTCAAAATGCATATAGCCAGTAGAAATACTGCAGTTCCCTCTGTGAAAATTACTTCTTCCGTACTAGAAAATCATTGTGACAACGGGGCGGGTAATGGTCGATATACACGCATGATTCCTTTTTGAAAGAGGATCAAGTGGGGTTTTAAAGTAAAGGCCCATCAAATATATGTGCATGTGTGTGTGTTTGTCTAATTATGGTGCACAACATGCCAGGTGATTATATATATACATGATGGGAAACTGAGGTTTACTTAAGAGCTTTGCATACACAGGCCGCTCAATAAATGTTTCTATATAAATGAATATATTCAAGACCTAGCTAAATGATAAATACATAACGTGTTAGTGGCAAGTCAAGACATAGAAGGAAATTACTATAAATTACTGTCAACCACAGTTATGTGTCGAACATTCTTTACTCCAATTAGAAAGTGAAAACATACGGCAATACGGGTCACTTTTAAACTGAAGGAAGCGAACGGTATCATTTTGGAGGGGGGGGGTTGTGATCGAAACGTTTGTGAACAGTGAAGAGAGCTTTGGGTTAAAGAGCCGAGTGGGACCGGGCCACGTTCTTCTCTTCAGGCTTGTCGGATTTTGGACGGGGTGTAGGTCTTGTCCACGGACTCGTCCTGTAGAAACATGTGCAGGCATCGTTCGTTCTGAGCCAGAGGGTGTCCTGCCACTCTGCAACAAAGAGCAAAGAGGCAAGGGGTGAAACGAGACAAGGCTTTTGACCTTTGGACACAGGACACACTCGTGGGCAGGCTGACAGGGCGTTAGGGCAACTGGACCCGGAGATCAGAGCGCCGATCGGGCGACGTCAACAACGCACGGATCCAACAACCATCTCAAACGTCTTCCAGTGATTCAAATGACAACACTACGGACACGCTTAACTCTGATTAAAGGTCCAATGCAGGTTTAGTGTCTTCCTGACATGGAAAGGAAAAACACACCCCTTGAAAATACATGATGGTTAGTTAGTACTTTATTTTAACAGGAAACAAGACGGCCAATTATTGTTTTGTTGTCTGAGGCCATTTCACCAGCAACAACTATCCCATGTTCTCCATTTCCTTTGTGCAAAGCATTGTGGGAGCATAAGGTGATAGCGTAGCGGAGAAGGGACCTTTGCTGCACAACGTCCTCTTGCTTTCCTCCATTAAAGTCACATTGACATTAGACTCCCCGAATGACCCCTCATACGAGGCAAGAGGAGCTTAACGAGAACAAGCCAGCGCACCTGAGACTCCGAAAAGCGCTCCCTCCGAACAGATCAACATGATGACGTTGTACATCTGCATCCATCTTAACCTCCAACAGGAAATATTTTAGACAAATGAAACGGCTTCGGCTGGGGTCTAATAGCGAGGCAATCACTGGAGAAACCAAGCCCGCGCGCCCACATACTCTGTTTAATAGGTTTTCCCCAAACGGAGACGTTGACATTGCACGTTAAAATGTCAAGGCATCGCTTGCCTTTTTTTTTTTCTTCTTCTCTCAAAAGTACGTCCCGTAAGCTCTTCCTCTGAACCTGAAGCATGAATTATGTTTGACTACCCTAATCAAAAGACTGATGGTGATCCTCTCTCCTCCCTCTCACTTGTGTTTCACAGCGACAATCATGTTTACCATTCCAAAAGATTTCCTCTTCACAATGCGCTCAATCACAGATTAAACAATGCTGCAAGTCTAGTCTGAACAATGATATGATCAACAGCAGGGTTTCATTCAGAAGAAGCAGAGGGGGGGGGGGGTCTTAATTACTAACACATTCTCGTCTTCTTTTAAAAACATATTTATGGATTTTTAATTTTCTAAACTGTCTTTGAGCACTTAATATTCCAAAAGGAAACATTGATGCATTTGCACATGAAACAAAGATAATGGCCAAGTCTGCAATCAAAGCAAATAATTACAATCACACTGTAACTTTTATTGTTCTGCAGCTGAAAATGAGGACGCGCTGGATCCGAAATAAGCAGAGGTACACACCAGATCCAACGGAACGCCGCGCTGTAATTTGAGCCGCAATTATCATAAATTACACATCAACAATAAAACAAATGTGGGGAAAAATGATGATGTTGTGGGGGCGCACACTTGAGTCCTTTTTGGTTGTTCTCGTCCTTCGCGAGGTAATTATAAACGGGGAATTAAGGAGAACGCTGAGGAAAAAGACCTGCCGTCTCCGCCTGGTTCAGTTTGTTAACAATATGGAGAGCTGTGAAAAAGTTAAATGCACTTGTTGAACAAAAGGGTTTTATTGTTATCGAGAGTTAGAATAATACCTCAATAAGAGCTGCAAACAACTGTAACAGAAATGTGACACGGCTTACTTGTTAAGAAACTGCTCCAGAGCCTGTCGCCGCTCTTCTATGAAAGAGTCGTCAAATATTCCATCATCTCCTCGAAACGGAAGCTGCCGGAAGAGAGCTTTTCCAGGGAGAGGTGGGACGACGACCTGCGATAACACGGATACGCAGAAAGTCATTAGAACCGCAGTTAAATAGTCTTATTAGGGAGGATTTTAGTGCTTACAAGGACCCCTTTGGAAGGAAAAAACAGCTCACTAAACAGAGATCAGGTCCTGTAACGGTCTGGTGAAGACATTTTTGCAACTTTTCTCACATGTAAAAATCGATGCACATGTGATCATTATCATATGCTGATTTAATAAGTACGAGCACGCCGGAGCCTTTGTGTGGAGTTCACCTCAATGGCTCACCTTGCTTTCCCTCTCCAGCTCGGCTCGGAGCCACTCAAAGTCGCTGTAGCGCCTCCGTACGCTCGACTCCTTCAGTTTGAAGATTGGTAGGTTGGTCTGTGGACGCACACACGCACACACACAATTGGAAAATTGCTATATAGCCGTCTCTCCTTTAAGTGTAAATTAAAGAGAAATTATCCTTTTGCCAGCAAATGGAAGAATCGTTTGAGTCCATTTCAGGGAAATTAGGCGGCAGTTTAGCCGATGACTGATTTGCCCTCCATTGACCTAATGGTGTGTTATTATAGTAGAATGATCTATGGTAACCTGTAGAGCTGAACCAACTGACTCCTTCTAAAACCCACAAAAACTAATGAGCAAAGTGTTTTCCATCATCGTTCAATGTTCAAGTCATTTCATTCCACATCGGTTGTTCCCACTTTCTCAATCCTGCTGAAAAGCATCCAAATTGAGCAAAGAATTGTGTCTCGCTCGCCATGGTCTGACGCACTCCGATGTTTTTTGCCGTTTTAGCGCGTACACCAAAGCGCAGATGTGCACATCGATGGAAGCTGCTGCCGACAAGCACTTGAGAGTGAATTTCATATTAGAAGGGCAAGATGTTTCGACATTGAGCAAACGGCACGTCACAGCACAATGCCAAACCTCTTCAATAGTCCCGACAGGCAAGGCCCTTCCCATGACATGCCCCCACCAAGGGGGGTGGGGGGGGGGGGGCATTTCACAATCACAGAAGGTCAGAATTCACGGAAGAAGGAATCACAAAGTGCAAAGCGCGGAGACGGTGAGAGCTGCAGGGCTGATCGATAAGCGGGCGACGCAAAACGGGGACGCAGAGTTAACCAGAAGGCTGAGTAAATAAGCCGAACAAAAGAGGGGGAGGGAGGTAGGGAAGAGCAGGAAAAACCGGAGGGGTTCGGGAGCTTCATCTGGTCTGTGCAGGACTAATTGAGAAGGAGGGAGAGCAGGAGTGGTCTTTTCACTCTCATGGTCTCTCCCATTCAGTCTTTTTCCTCTTTATTTCCCTCGCTCTGCGATAATAAGTCAGATTTTATGCCCTTGAGACTCCTCTTGTGAGGCTTCAATGGGGAAAATGCAGGCATTTGTTTTGTTTTTTACCCTCTTTGCTCTGTCCTCCCTACAGAAATTCAAATAATGACGGATGCTACCCAGATTTGATTAGACTCAGCCAACGGGTTTGATCATATTTAGATAATGAAAATGAGAGCGGCCTTTCGACGCACTGATTTGGTGATTGACTGCAAAACAATTCTTGAATCCCTGAAGAGACACAGTCGAACATAAACACCTTGCTAAGATGAATTCACTGCAACAGTCCTGCAATATACGTACATTTGGATGTATTTTGTGGGGCTCATTGTTTTCTACAAGAGGGCTGAACAACAGAAACACATCTCTGTCAAAAGTAAAGTTCAACAGCACCATAAACGACATGGTGCTACTACGATTATGTGATCTTCATCAAGGTTGGATGTTCCTAATAATTGACTAAATTTATTTTAGATATCGGCAGTGTTTCCAGAGTTTTCTTTTCTTTGTGTGTGTTTTGTAAACGGATGATCACATTAAACTTGTCTGCCATTCCACCCTCTTTCCAAATCTCTCGCTTCACTTGGCGCCGACGTCAGTGCCGACCGTGACACGAGGGCGCTTTCACACTGACCGTCACTAACCTCGCAGCCGTTTCTTCTCAAACAAACTCACTATTTCCTATTTGGGATCCTTTGAGTGAACCCCGTGCTGCGTGCGCACACCCTTTCCCACCTATTTTCAGGTTCACCCCAGGTGAAGCGGCCAACGAGCCCCTCACTCCGTCCCCCGCTCTCTCAGGTCGCCGGGAGAAGTGGATTATCTTGGCTTTATCAGCCCGGTGCTCCGGCATTAACTCCACTCCACTCTCCTCCAGGCCCCGCTGCGTCATGTTACCTCACAGCATGGAGTTAATCCCCACCACAACAGATCACAGTTACAGGTAATCTGCCACCGCCGTGACTCTAATCCCATCATGTGCACACGGGGGGAAAACACTTAACCACGTGTGAGCGCGCACACACACACACGCACACGCACACACACACACACACACACAGCACACACGGAGAATGCATGCGCAGGTGTTAAGTACGAGGTTTGACCAGTCACACAGTTAACAATGTAAACATAATAGCCCAGGGCGTTCAAGTCTATTTATGCCCCCCCCCCCCGCACAATGAAGCAAGCGGTGAGAGTGTAAGGAAAGAAAGTCACCTGGCCTTTCAATCCCCTCGCCCACTCAAACCCTGTGATTAAGAGATCGGCCTTGCAGGACAAGGGGAGGAACGAAAGCGACGGAACTGAAAAATGAGAAGTCTCACTCACTCACACACCAACTGAAAGAGGCGGTGCGTGAGAGCTCTACGAGTCAAAGAGAAGATTTCCCTGGTATTTTTTTTCCCCTACACGGCTGGTTAAAGGTCAGGCCCCGGTTGTCTCAGCTTACACATCCAGGCACGTCTCAGCGTTTCCGGAATCATCTAAAAAGACACACTTTGCCTTTCTCACTTCCCATGTGAGGTAATAAATAAAAAAGGAGGACGGAAGGACAGGGCAGTCAAATAAAACGAAGGTAGCTGTAAGGACAGAAATGCAATGTCCACCCTAAAATAAGGAATTAATGGTCACGTTAAAAGCAGGTTTAAAAGAAAATAGGAACATAAAGCTATGTACCTCCTCAGACCTTCTAGTTTCACTTTCCATTCTACACTCCATAGGAAGAGCATGTTATTCATAATGTGTGGGATACAATACCTTTGGCTCATTGAAAATGGGCTGAAAAGAAACCCTTAAAAACAGCCATACAGAAAGAGCGGGAGAGATGGGACAAAGATCACTCACATCCCCAAAGAACGGTTCAAGGCCACCATGCATTAGCTTTTAGCAAGATGGATTAAGTCAAGTTTGAGTGTGTGCATCCTAAACCTCCCCCGTGCCCTCTTCCCACCGCTCCCATATACTCTCTTTTCACAATAATGGCATAAAAAATGGCAACATAATACCTTCTCATTGCATCATATTCCAAAATGGGGGACGGATGGGGGGGGGAGGCAGGGAACAAAAGCGTCGGGGCTTGGTCTTTTGCTCTCGCCTTTTCCATATACCCTCTCACTGGTTCACTCGCTCGCCGGCTCCTGCGGCCTGACAGCCTACCCTCGCTCCGACTCGCCGAGCTGGCAAAAAGCCGCTTTGTTACCATAGCATCAACTCCCACTTTTGATACTGTCATTCAAGTACGATATGGTAGCCTTGATACAATATGTCCCCCATTTCCATTAAAATAGTTGTCGAAGAGGATGCTGTAGACTTTGGATTACACTTGACTGTGCCTGACAAGCCCCTCACCCCCCCACACACACACACACACACTCTCCCCCATCTCTGCCCATTTTATTAATGACCAAAGACGCCCGCCCCACAGCCCAAATGGAGAAGAGAAAGAAAGAGCGAGGGAGATGCAATGGGAGATGAGAGGAGGAGGGGTAGAAGACCGAGTGAGAGGGAGCGACGCAGCTATAAGAGGCCTTTTATGTCCTGCCGCCCATGAACAAAGTGAGATCCCAAAGTTTGCTCCCCTGAATGTGCTCTCGGGATGAGATGGGAACCAACTAAAGACAAAAAAAATGCTGATAATACCCCCCAAAAAAACCTCCTCCCACCTCACAAACACGTCAACTTCACCCCCCCCCCGGATTTGCTGAAGGTCCAAATAAATACAGTATGCTGCTTCGGGGGCTCCTCTCAACCCAGAAAGGAAAAAGAAGAAAAAAAAAAAACAGATCCCATCACCAAAAGAAGGATGTGACAAGTCAGTCCATTAGAAACATGGGCAAACGTGCATAGGCAGAATAGAAACGAACAGGAAAGCCACCGGCTTCCTGTGGTCTACAAACCATTTCAGAAACTACGCTTAAAAAAAACGAAGGGGATTTGGGGGGGGGGACAAAAATCCATTGTTTCAGCACAACTCTGGACATTACGAGTCTGCTCAGGCAAAATGAGATATCCGCCTCCTTTCACCAAGGACCTAGCTTCTACGTCGTCTACAGGAGTACATTTGTCCCATTGATTTTAAAACACACCAAATGCAAGGAGGGGGGGGGGGGGGGGGCTGTCAACAGGGGACGGTGCGACTGCGACTAGTTGGCCCCCCTCACACGACAAGCCAATCGTTATACGCTTTGTTTCACCACGAACTTGAACATTCAAATGCTGCTGACCAGCGACAGGCAAAATGCGCTAGGTGACCGCTAGGTGATTTAGTTAAATACAGTGAAGCTAACCCTTATAATTTCCCAGCAGGAACAAGCCTCAGCTGTGTGTGTGGGGGGGGAGGGGGGCACTATACATTCAACCATATATAGTAATCAAAAGGGGGCTTGAGTAACACATTATGAGCCAGGCAACTGACTGCACACAGCTGGGAGGCAAACGGGATAAGTGGGCAATGGGATGAAGGCTGGTGAGGGGGTGGCTTTCTGCCCTCCCATGAGTGGGGGGGGTGCGGGGGTAAGGATGGGGAATAAACTCAGGCTCCCCCACACCCTGGCCCGTTTCATTCTTCTCTTCTCTCAATGAGGGGATTAGGCAGACTCTCTCGCTCTCTCTTTCGAAGCCGATAGCAGGACAGCAATGGCAAACAGGAGACATGTTACAGACAAACTGTCCAGTATAAACCAGGGTTTCATTTTAAAATTCTAAATAAATATTGTAAGTGAGATGGAGACAGAAAAAACTAAACAAAGCGTAGTCTAGGCATGTCAGGTCGAGGCATTGTGGCAAACACTCTTCGGGGTGAAATGCTTCTAAAGAAAGAAGAAGGAGAGATGCAAAGCTAAGTTGACACCACGTTTGCGTAGGTGAGGGATGCGCCGCTTCTTCTGTGGTTTTATGCAAAGCAGGGTCACACGGGGCTATGAGGTGCACAATAATGGTGATTACACGCATATGCTAATTATTACACGCTAATCACGTACAGTGGCCTTGTATTTCAGGCTAATGCCTGGAGACGGCTTCTCTTCCCTCAATCCGTTCCTTTAAGGTGAAGCGAAACTATAAATACTGAGACGCTCACCAATCTAAATACGTCAGGCCACTAACTACACGGGTGTCAGTCAACTGAAATGACACTTTAAAGACAAGAGATTGGCCAATCAGATGTGATTAGTGACTGTCTAGCAATTTCAGACTCAATACCGCCTGCACATTAAAAGTACATACAGTAGAGTACAGGAATAGCTTCATTTATGCAACATTTTATTTGGTGATGGAAAACGAAATGTACAAATTTCCTTTATTCTGTCACGTCCTGGTAATGGAAAATAGGAAAAAAGAATCACACCTCTTTCTTGCAAGTTTGTGTTGGCCACCTATTGGATAAAGACTCTTCTAGCTGATCATATTATAGTAAACTGAAACTTTGCCCTCACCAAAGCTTGATTATCATTCTTAATCTCAGAAACAGCAGGTGAAAAAAATGTTCATTGCCATACAAACAAGATGACTGGTTTCTGTGGGTTACGTCTGAACATCTACAGTTTGGTGACAACTGAGCAAACTGTTATCTGCTGCCACATGGTCCAAAACGAGAGGGAATGTGGAACTTGAAATGTTTGTTTTGGGGGGCAATCGTTTAGTATGATCATTCACAGATGGAAGCAGGGTCTGTATTTTGCAATGGCCAAGATTGTCTCACCGTTATTCCCCTTCCCGATTGCTCAATAATGTCAAACATCTGGATAGTATGAGGCAACAACCTAACGGGCAAAACAGGATCCACATGCTTCTTTACAGGAATGTACATGCAGTCACCTGCAGAAATGCACTGTAAAAGATAATATCAATCCTTACTCGTTTTTACCATTCTTTAAGCAGATTTGGCAGTTTCTCTTTTTTGTATGTATGTTGTAAAAATATATTGTTATTATATTGTCCACTGTACAAAAAAGAATTACAAATAGAAATGTATATATTTGGAATTGACATATTGATCAACTACAAACTATTGATGGTGGCAGCAAAGTAGAACCTGCATGTCTTCTCCAGTACGAGTTCTTCAGAAGAGTAGGAGGAAGGAAATGAGTAAACGGGGGTGGGAGAGACTGGAAAGGACCAGGCAGCAGAATACATCCTGTCTACAGTTGCAGAAAAGCTGACTTGCTGAGTTATGTTCCCCTTTGGAAAACATCTGATGAACAACCAAGAATGAATAAACCGTTCTTAAACCGACCAACATCTGCTCTGAACATTAGCATTAGCATTAGCATATGGAAAGAGTAAGCAGAGCATTTGGCTAAACAGACCTTTTAGGTTGGTCATTAAGTTAAGTGTCACAAATCCTCTTATCTATTCTTTCCAGTCAGACAATGGGGTGTGGCTGCAGTTCAACTCCAGACTGCTCAGGGAGGGTTCAACTTTTAGGAGAAGTTATTACATCACGGTTTATTAGCTTGCTGCATGGGATATATAACTTTTATTTGAACACATGTGACTTCTCTGCTCGGTAAAACAGCTGCACTGTCACAACACTGTTTGGGGGGTCGAGGGGGGGTGGCATACTTGAGGCTAATGTAAACAACTTCCCTTCATTAGCAGAGCAGTAGCAACATGTCTGTTGCCAGTATATAACACTGTAATGAAGTATTGGTACTTGTTGATACTGTCCAAATCTCTCGATTGCCTAAAACGTTTAATCAATTAACGTCGACCGATCATTAACACCAGTAACTAACGCTTAATGTCAGCAAGCTAACCAGTGTTAGCTAGTTTAACGAGATCCTAGCTACTAGCCCGATTGCTAATGTTGGCCAACTCGTTTTGCACTGAACGCCAACTCTTTTTAAATAACCATTATCATTTAGATATTTAAATATCGAAATCGACATTATGTTGACGTCTTTTTGACAGTAGCAACCCCGATGTCAAGAGCGAATCACCGTCTTTGACTGCAGGAAAAACGTTAGGTAGCTCAGGTAGCTCGCGTAAAGCTAACGTCATTAGCACTTGTTACTGCAGGCTCACCTTCAGTCTCACTTCATACGTGGTATATTTGGTCCTGCCAACCCAGGTGGTCTCAGGGTTGCTCACATCAATCTCTAGAAAATTACTTGGAGGTCCATAAGCATCATTTAAGTTCTGAGGCTTAGAAAAAAGCCTTCTTGTGTCAGCTACGGTATCAGCCATTTCTCCCCCTGTCCTTCGAGCAGCTGGAAAAGTCAGTTAAATTGTCCAGAATAGAAATATTTACATCCTGTTGAGGGTCTTCAAAATAAAACATTCGGTGAATGTTAATTCCGCATAATAACAATAAAAGACTAAAATGCACATTATATCAGAGAAGTATCATAATTTATTGGTGCTTTATATTTGTATGCGTACTTTTAACATAAAAAACCCGCTAACGCTTGTAAAAGTTTAACAGAACCTTTAATGTTGAAGGCCATTTACGCAACTTCCGATAATGCTTCGCGTCTCACTATAGCGAGCTTGAAAGGCCAGAGAGCTGCACTTCCGATCAGCTGAAGTTCAGCTGACGTTGGTCGGCCAACAGCCTCCGGGTTTGTTTACAACCTGCCAGTGGGCACATTGGCCATAATCAACTTTTTGGAGAACATACACGACATGCATTTAATCATTTCAAAAGTATGATCAGACCAAGTGTAACGTTATTGCTGCCAAGATATAAGAACACAACTCATCTGCCGTTACGTTTAATTTAAGTGCTTCTGGATTCAATACTTAAACATTATTTATTTAAAGATCATTGACGTGGAAAACGACAAATGTATTCGGATTAATAATAATCCAAAATAAACAACAGAGATCTATTTTGCCCAAAATGTGCAACATTATGTTTTCCTTAGTATTCCTCATAAGTTAAATGAGTTTATTTAAATAAATCGATGGAAAATGGGTTAATATTGGATTTAAACTGAGCTCAAGACTGCCATGCTGGTCTTGTGATTGATATTTGTCATCGTGTTGTCAATAAAGCTTTGGGGATTTTGAAACATCATGGCGGCGTGCATGCTCCCCGCAGCCTCCAGATACTCACTGTTTATTTGTCTAAGAGACAGTTTTCTGACACCGAGGACAATCTACCGACTGTCATCTATTTCTTGTGGAAACGGTGCGTGTCTTTCCGTTATATTATGAGTCAACAGGTTTCAGGTTGTGGGGTAAATGACGTGTTAAAGCCCTCTTCTTGGGTAACTAACTAAAAGTTACACCGTCCATAACCTTTTTAGAATCGCCTTCTCTATCCGATCAGCCGCACCTCACGGTGTGTCGAATGTGAGCTCTGTGTGTCCCCATTTAACAGCGCGTGCTTTTGCTATAATGCTCCCAAGGTTGCACCAGTGGGAGGACATCGTCCACTTCCTCCCCGGAGTCCCCGGCCGCAGACACCTGCGCCTTCAGCGGACACTATGGCCGCCTTGTGCAGCGCGGCTCCCTGAGAGAAGATGCTCTGCAGAAACAGGTTCTCTGGCGGCTGGCTGAGCTGCAGCGCACCATGGAGAACTACAGCAACGACATCTACCTGAATCCACCCCCACGAGGTCAGTGGACGGACGGGAAAGAGTCCCGCGCAATAACAGCTGGAGGCCAGCGTGGTGGACCTGCTGCTGAGGTAAAGGAGTTACACCTTCTATGACGCCGCAGTGTCTATAAACAACTCTAAACACGCCAATCGTGCATCATGATCATAATATCATTAGAGTTACTCCGAGTGAGCCTTGTTTCTAAAGTCAAGTAAAGATCATATTAAATCTATGCACAAACAAGTCTCATAATGTTGTATAATGTCCCCTATGAGTGATATATAATTCCACTGTAAAGCTTCATATACAATGTTGTAATGCACTATTAATATATTATTATTCATTTGAAGAATGGGACTAATAAACAATGATCCTTGCTCAGTGAGTGAGTAGCAATCACGAAATTGTATGCTACTTTACCCTAAAAGTCATGATACAATTCTTTGTGATGTGTTATTAACTTGAAGCATTAAGCATATTTATTAGTTCTTAAAACTCTACTCATACAGTGTTATAAGGAGATTATAACACATCATGAGTATCCTTAAGATGCATTAGAGACAAGTGTGTGTCGATGTGATTAAACATAATCTGATCGTTAAATTTCTAATCATTTAAATTTGTAGATTAAACTGAGCAATACAAGACCACCAGGCCTGCATAACCAAGACCTTGACCAAACATGCAAACGCATCTCAGCCCGTTTTCTGCAGAAGTTTATGATACGTCTTCATCCGTGGGCGGAGTCTGCTCAGTTCTCACAGAGAGGCAAAAAAACAGCCACTGGACCTGTATGTCAACAGGTTAATCTCTGTGACCAATAAGAAAACTCCACCCCCTCATAACAATTATGTCAGGTGGTTGAAATTACAATAAAATGACAGTACGTAAATTTGTCTGGTCCATCTACTATTTCCTGTTCAATAATGAATTTTCATGCTCTTGACTGAAGTCATGCACCCATTCACCCTTTCACTATTCCCTACATAATATACACTCATTAGAAGTACTCACTGGAAAATCTGTGCTCTTCTACTGATAGGTGGAAATATTGGAAAACGTTGGGTGATTATATGTTTACCATTTGAGCGACGGCATCGGTTCGTTTCGGGACTCTTTTTCCGTTCTAAAGTCTAGTTGACGTCTTAACGCGGGTCTTCGCGGAGTCCTGCTCAGCTGTACTCCAGTTGTCTCGCTGATTGTGGCCAGCGGGGGCTGGGGTCAAGGGGAGGGTAGGGGGTCTGGGAAGCGTATTGTGCACGTGTAGAGCGGCGTAGTGTCGGGGGGCTGCCGCTGTTTTTAGGTCAGGGGAGCTGACTGTCTAGTACTCGGTGGTGGGAGTTGTTTTGTTGGTTGGTTGGCTGGCACAGGCGAATAGGGTTAGGCAGAGATTTTGGACGGCAGCGGGGCAGACCTCCCGCTGGGCCCGTCCCGGCGCTCCTCTCAGTCTCTCACCGTCTCCATGCAGTAATGAGGGGATCCCCATTGTCTGGGCCATTCTTGTCCTTTTTTGCTTTTGATTCGGGACTCTGACGAATACTTTGGTGTCAGGCTATCAACACCACCGCCCCCTCCCCACTTGCACCTTATTCGCTCTCACACACATACACACACTCTCTGACTGAAGGACTTATGCAATTCATCTGGTTGGAATCAGGTCATACTAATGTCCTTTTGGTGTCTGCTCTCCCTTTTGGTTGAGCCGCCATTGTCCTCGCTAACTGACCAAGGCCGTAAGGAGAATACAATTGACTTAATTTTGACCCGATGTGGCGTGGTTTTGCGGATGGTCGGCCAACAATGGGCCATTGTTTGGAGGGAGCCACTCTCTACAAGTCAGACCTGCAGAGTCCTCCTGTACGCTGGCGCTGGTCTCCAGCAGAATAGTTGTACCGCTGAGACCCAGCCTAGCCTCGTACCATCACTCCTTCTTTAAGCTTTTCCCTGAGAGACACAACATCTCTGGCCGCAGACGTCCATTTCCAAGCCAAAGTCACCATGTCCTGTCATGTGAACTTTCCCGCTCATGTGCCGGTCGCTATACTCCTCCGGGAGGTGAGACAAGGCCGCAGAGCTCAGCTAGACGGAGTGGCTGTGGGACAGCCTTGTCCTTCTCCACTCTTCCGTGGCAGAAATGGCTTCCAGCCACCGCTGACAATTACCCCGCCATGACAGAGGGCAGCTTGGGAAGTCAGGGAGAAGTCACACACTGTTATGCCAGAGCAGACAGGAAAGGCTTGTTGCTCTTCCAGTATTTCACTCCGGCACAGGACAGGCGACACAGAGGGACGGGGGGGACGGGGCCAGGGAGGGAGAGAGAGCAAGAGAGGATGGGTAACAAGTTTTTTTTTTTTTTCATTTGGTTTTCAATTGGCTATTGTCTGCATTTGCCAGAGTCAAGCGCTCCTTGAGCGGTGGACACTGTGTACCGACTCCATAAAATAGTTGCTAAATTGAATTTTAAGAGGACAAACCTTTCCATCTGGCGCTTAGTTAATTCCAAAGCTATTCACCGTTGCCCGGTTACAGAGATGGACAACTCTCGACCGCACTGTTGATGGACCCGGTGTTAAACAATTCTCATTTGTTCTCTTACATGGAAATATGTTGCAAGTTATCGTTGCACATCATGATTTAAACTGAGGCCACATGTGTTTTCATGGCTCAGAGACATTTCACTATACTTGATATTCTCAGCTCGGTCACAGAGAAGACGTTTCTTTTTTCTTTTTTTTCTTTTTTTAAAGCGGGGACCTTTTGATGATACGAGGCAGGCAGCACAATGACTTCCAGCGGTACCTCAATGCAACAGTACCGTATCACAATTAGCAGCGCTAAACAGGCTGCACAGACAAGTCCACTCCATCTCGAATGGAGCCTCATCCAGTCCTCTCCGTTTTGTCTGACAAATCCCCCCATTGTTCCTCTGATGATGCTTTTCTTTCGTGGGAACCCTGGCTTGTCTTGTTGATTAGATCCCCTTTGTCTTCCTCCCCTGCAGTGGGCCAGTCTGGAGAATGTGAAACCTCACACTGTAGTGGTGGCTTAATGCCTCAGCATACTTTGTTTATTAAACGATGGATCAGTCTTGTATGTTAATGAATATAACGTAGTTTATGTAGGTCACCAGCTATGGTGGTTGGTCTTTTAATCGGGAATTTATTTTATACAACCAGGGTGCTTTATATTAAACTGCGTTACACTATTGTTTGGGATGAGCGGCTGTTAAAATATGTTTATTTAAAACAAACGTACTTTCGTCAAGTCCTCAATCTCTCTCTGTCTCCCCAAAGGAGGAACCCTCTCCACCACCAGCACCACCACCACCACCGCCTCCACCACCGCCTCCCAAAGGCTTCTACATCTATGGAGATGTTGGTAGGATCACAAAAGAAATAAATACTACTCTCTATGGTGCTAAATTCTACAAGGAGTTGCAACAATTGCTTTTTCTTGAATCCCTCTCAGGCACAGGGAAGACCATGCTCATGGATATGTTTTATTCCCACGTGGAAAACACTCGTAAAAAGAGAGTCCACTTCAATGGCTTCATGTTGGACATCCACAAAAGTGAGTGCTATCCCTCCCCCTCCACAGCGGCAAGCGCTGAAGATCTGCCAGCTTGACTTCACAGAAGTTAATGACTCCTCGCGCGCCGCAAATCCTATATTTATATCCCTCTGTTTGTCCTGAAGCCCCGCTGCTAATTGTCTACCATTATGCATACAACCGAAATTACCTCTTTATTCAGTATTGTCATTGGGTCTGGGTTGCCAATGCAGGTGTGCTTTAAGATGTGCCTGACACTTGTGTCCTGCTTAAAGGGATACACGGGAGGAGACAAAGCCTGCCAAAGAGAAGGCCAGGGGAAACGTTCACCTGTGACCCCATATCACCGGTTGCCATGGAGATCAGCAATGAAGTTTGCCTGTTGTGTTTTGATGAGTTTCAGGTGAGCGAGTTTGTGTGTGTGTGTGTGTGTGTGTGTGTGTGTGTGTGTGTGTGTGTGTGTGTGTGTGTGTGTGTGTGTGTGTGTGTGTGTGTGTGTGTGTGTGTGTGTGTTCTTAAAACCTGCTCCTTAGTTGCAAGTAGCAAACCACATCAACCGCATACGTTTGATTAAACAGTACTAATCTGACAAGAGTGCTAAGTAAATATACTGCTAGTAAAAGTTTATATTCAATAATGAAAAAAATTGACTAGCTAGGATGATTAAAAATTAATACCAATGTAGTCTTTCAAATTAAACTCTTAGCTCTTGGAGCATATTATGTGTCGGTTGGATGCATAATGTCTCATGACATTAAAAAAAAAATCCCAAACGACCACGATGCTGAACAATATCCTGATTAGGTAAAGTGATGTTCCAGATAAACAGACCTACAGTCATGCTAGGTCATCATTTGGTCCTTATCCAGAGGGAAAGGCAAGCCATCATGAGATATGTTGGAGATTAAAACCAAACACAAAGCCAGCATTAGTTGGATGCCACAGGAGTTGCGTCAGGCGTATATAACTCAAGAATTGAGTGTTTTTAATTCAATTAAAGTCAGTGTCTTTCCTGTCTGAACAACTGGGTCCTAACCTCACAAACACAGGACTGAGGACACCTAGTGGCCGTTTTGGATACAACAATGTTATAAAATTGTAGATGGCCTCCAGTGACAATGAAACAAACCGAGTCGCCGATAGTTTTTTAAAATATCATTTGGAGAAATGAAAGGCACCGTCAGCCATTAGCGTCACAGGACTTGTTGTTATTTTACTCGCCACTACTGCAGCCCGATAGCTGGTCGCTCCCCGAGGAGAGAAAGACGCGCGCTTCGACGTCCGTCATTAGCCAGCCGAACACATCTGTTAGCGGCACAATGTCCTTCCCCTTACTGATATCATTACAGTTAATGCCAGCAGGTCAGAGGTCACGGAAGGTGCGCTTGCTCCCTCTAATCACTCTCTACGCGTCTGTAAGGATCAAGAGCTGCTCCTTTCATCCACTCCGTCTTTCTCATTTTAAACCGCGGCGCTGTTTGTGCGCTCTCATTGATTCGTTTTGTTTGCCGTCGCTGTTTTTTTCGCGCGCCGACTGTTGCTACCGGTGAATGGAGGGGAAAACAAGCAGACATGTGCACGTTGTTTGTGATGCATAAACAAGAGGCTGCGAGGTTGGGAGAGTCGGGGGGGGGAAATCTATACCAATCAGCATCCTCCTCCACTCAGCCATGCAAATGAGGCTCTGGGTATCAGTCGCACTCTCCCGCTTCCTTAAGTGAGTGGAGCTAGAAAGCGACTGGCGGCGGCGGCGGGTCAGATGGATCTTATCCTCTTAAATGCTAATGACATTTCTCCATTCTCTTCATTAGCGCCGTGCCATTATCAGTAATTTGTAACCCCCTCCCTCCGTCCTTTTACAGCCCCCAACCGGCTCCCCCTTAATGAACACTCGCCATTGAGAGGTCCCGCGATGGAAAGATGGGAAGAGAGCGAGGAAGTAAGACGAGAAGAGTGAGAAGGAAACGCTCGCGCGCCATTGTCTCGGGGCACCGTGCAACCTCTGTCAAATTGCTCATAGGTTGTGTACATAAAGAGGTGTAACATCAAAAGAGGTTTAATTCTGCACCCGTGTGCCTCGCTGTAAACTGACAGCCGCTGGAGTAATTGGATGCTCATTTAAATATCGGCATTGGCTGACGGCGATTGCGCCATTATTTTTGTGTTCCACAAGTGCTACATCAGTCCCCTCCACCTTCCTCATTCTGTGGGTACCCATTCTCTTCCCCTCTCCCCCAACTCATTCAGCAATCAATATTGCCCCTCATACTATGCCCATGTTGAGGGCACATGAATAAACAAATCCAGGTTGTATAAAAGGTCATTTTTTAAATGATTCTTTTGAAATGAAAATAAAATCCTGCGGTCGGAGGAAATGGGGGCCCCTTCAGAGAAACACAGAGCCTTGGCTTCTGTTGATTCTCATTACCCGCACACACACACACACACACACACACACTCATTTCATGCCCCGAGCCACCTCTCCTTAACAAAATCAAGGCTTTAACACAAATGTTAATCAAGTATTGGCAAGGGCAGTGGGGCTAATATGCAAAAGCAGACAACTCTCCAGAGAATGAAAAGAGGCATATGGTGTGGGTACAGCCATCAGAAGTACCTGTTCTATACAGGAGGGCTAGAGGAGAGGGACAGAAGTCCTCCCGCTATTCGAGACATCCCAGTTCTTAGGATATTAGCTAAGTAACTTCACATGTGTTTCAATTTATTTAAAAGGTGGCTTGTTTTCTGTGAAATATTTCTCCTTTAAAAAAAAGCTGCGGTCACGTAGTATAATATGATACATCAGGCGCGTCAGACATTCTACATACTGCTTTGACTACCGTGCAAAAGAACAACAGAGGTGAGAGAGAGAGACAGATAACCAACACAAGTGAGAGCACTGGATCACTACCGCAAAGGTCAGAGCTCTTCATTTAGCGTCCTTGCTGCAGTGTCGTCAACGACCATTTCTCATTGTGGACTCGTGGAAATAATGTAGATGGAAAAAGCCAGCGGATTGGTGTATAATCGCCGCGTGGAGCTCATACTACGCGCACCCTTTCATACGGGCGCTTGCGTAGAAGCCTCATCTGCCATTGTGACTTCATCCCGTTTTCTTCCACTTGTTTCCTCGCTGGCGTTCAATCATTCTCACGTCCGCTCAGGTTATTAGCTCACTGGCCGCTGCCTTGCCGCGGCTACTTGTCCTCAGTAGAAGTGGTCTGAGGCGTGTGTGTCTGTGTGTGTGTGTGTGTGTGTGTGTGTGTGTGTGTGTAGGCCGTGACCAGACACAAAGGGATTGCCCACCTGAATGACCCTAATCAACATGGAGTGTTGATGGCGCGGTTTGACCGTTTTTTGATTTGCACACCGGTACGTGAATTATGAGCGTTCATGAATGCCTCTTCTCTTCTTCTCTGGTTCTGCCGCGCCAGGTGACCGACGTCGCCGACGCCATGATCCTGAAGCAGCTGTTTGAGACGCTGTTCGAGACCGGAGTGGTGGTGGTGGCCACCTCCAACAGACCCCCTGATGGTAGGACCACTGGTGTGCAAGCACACGGCACAGCACTGCTAAGTGCGTTCGCCATCAGGACGTAAGCTAATAGTCCTTCACACGGCCTTTCAGAAGCGTTCTGGGATTCAGTATCTCGACGCTTTGACCTGCGGACTGTTGGCATAGCGGACAACCCGCTCCCACTCCGGCCAGCATCCTTTCTCACGCCGTCTTTAATCTGTTGATATGTTGCTGACTGAAGCCACAATCAAGTTTTATTGCATAAAGATGCCCTTCAACCCGTTTGTCAAATCATTGATAATAATGGAACAGAAGGTTATTTGTATCCTTATTGTATCCTTTTTTATCGTGATTGTCTCGGCCAGAAAAACGTGAACCAACCAAATTATAAGTGCAGCGTATTTCCCTGCTGTTAAGTTAAAATAATGAAGTTGTTCAAGAAGATTTTAGCTTCAAATCGAAATGAAATCTGCTTTTGCAACAAGAACCACAGAACCAGAACAAGACTTTCACCACTTCAACAATGGAAATCTACGGAAAACTTTTTTGAAGTCGGCAGTGAAACATTGTCAGGCTACAAGAGCTCAGGCCCCCACGAAGGTCAATCTGGTCCACGTGACACTATTCCTCTCCACATTATTGATAAAAGATCAGGGGCCTCATTTAAAAACGTTGCGTACGCACAAAAGAAGGCGTACGCCGCTCTCTACGCAATAAATTTATAAAAAGCAATCTTGACGGAAAAATGTGCGGTCCTTCACGCAAGCTCGGACCCATACGTACGCACAAAAACGGGTGAATTGAGAACCGTCGGCAAGAAACATGCAAACGTGTGTGAAAGTGTGTAAAACTAGACTGTTGTGTAAAGGAAATGCCAATACTGCCTCTCCATAAATAGCACGAACACGTGTTTGATCGATCTGCAGCGTAAAACAAACAGAAATACAAATGAAAACATTTTCAAAAAGAAAAGTGAAATATGTTCTGCAATAATATCGGCATGTTATGCAATTCATCCTGTAGTGCAGCGCACCATCGGCCTGTTTAAGGGCAGATGGCGCTGCCTCGGCTGCACTGGAGGGACGTTGTTGTTTACTCCTGAAAAGGTGAGCTAAATCGTGATGCGCTGTGCTACATAATGTGGCACAGCTTCCAAACGTGCCTCGACCCCCTTGACGCCGATGTTGGCCCAGACCCTGTCCCCGATCCCCGATCATTGCCGCCAGTCTCTCATCAAGAGGAGACAGCTCCGGCGTCCCCTTTCCCCCCCGTGGCAGACACACTTTGGCGATGGTGCGATAAACGCTTTTTTGCATCCACTTTGATGTCAGGCCATTTTTTCTTTATTTCGGCCACGGCCCGAGGTTGTGAGGCTGCAGCGCTGCTCTGCAACCTTTTGCCACTCAAGTGCCTTTTTGGCATTAGTGACGTCCACACTGTGCCTCCAAAGAGCATTTTACTTCTCCCTCCCACCTCGCCAATGATCATTTCAACTTCACACTGAGTGAAGTTGCTTTTCTTCGTTTTCCTCAGTGTTTGTCATGATTTCGCAATCGATGAATATTAATTTGTGTTTGTTCCACAGACTATATATGGGCAACTATGGGCGTGACATGAAGCCGCAAAAGCTGCGCTGCATTTAGAAGTGATTGTGATTTATTAAGGGAAAACTGCGTAGGACATGCGTCCGAATATTTCTGTGCGTACGCGCGTCCTATGTTTCATCCGTACGTCACTTCTGGCGCAAATCCTACGCAAGGTTTTATAAATGAGGCCCCTGGCCAGTCGTTTTCCCGACAAATAGACAATATAACACAAGTAACGATGCCACAACCCTGAAGGTCCTCTTAGTGACGACACACGCCACCTACCTGCAGCTGAAATACCAAGTTTATATTCCCCGGAACATCAATGTCAGCCTCGCCTCCCCTTAAACCCGCCGCATTATTCACCTGCTTTGCATACATCTCCATTACTCACTTAATGTTCACTTAATTCATTTATTCAGAAGTGCTTGGCTCCAGCGAGGAGCGATTGTGTTTCACGAGGCCGCGCCGAGCTCCGTCCTGTCAACAGCAAACACGGCGAGGAAAAAGGCTCGGAACATTTGGTACAGCGCTCACTTTTCGAGGCATCACAACGACCCTTAAACAAGCTTTGATGTCGCATTTGCCGGCGGTGCAGCGGGCCGGAGGAAGAATGAGCAAGGCGGTGATCAAGGTGGAGATAAATGCACAATGTGCCATCTCAGGTCTTTCTTTCTTGTCGTGGTCTCAAAGTCTTGAGTGGGTAGAAGTGGATGGCAGCAAGATGGCTCTGCGAGACAAAGACGCCGGCTCTGATATTTACCAGCTATTAAGAACAAAGCGCAGAAACCGTTGCAAACTTGATAGAGAGGCTACTTGGTATTAATTACATGGTTAATGGAACACTGAAAGCCATAAGAGACAACTGGACATGAAAGGCATACGTTTCCCATCTTTATTGATGTGGAGATCTCGGTATCAAACGGCCCTGGATGTGTTTTGAGGGGGATATTTAGGAAAACCGCCTAAAGTAGCATTTTATTGTTTTTATACGCTGGAGGAGTTTAATTGGATTTAGTGGGGTTAGATGAATAAATGGTGTGTTTTTTTGGAGTGGAACACCCTCGGTGCATGTAGTTTACATTAAAGGCGGTGAGTCGGTTCAATTATTCAGTAATTTAACCAGTAATAATTGTCTTCGTCAGCACCATTGGTTGCATTTATGTTAAGCAATATACAGTACAACGTCATTATTAAATCCCCCCGATGAGGGATTATCATAATAGTCCTTTAAAACACAAAATGATTGATTTAGCTTACACGTTTTACTGTCTTAAAGACATTTGACATTTTGGAAAATATGCTTAAATGCTTTGCTTTATACCTCTAAGAGTTACACATTAAGATGATAAGTCTGTACAAACAAAGTGTAAATTGACACTTTGAGTGATGATCATTAGCAGGAAATCTCTGTAACCTATAACTAAATCCACACTGTCCAGTGTCCGTGCTGCTGTCCTCTGTCTTCCCGGATGTCACTGCGTCTCCTGACACAGCGTGGGAAGGAAATCCGGCGTTTTGTCTGAAAGTTTTGAACTATTTCCCGGCAGCAGCCGCCGTGCGTCGTGGATCACAATACAGGAGTTTTCAGCGAGCGCGTCGCCTCCGAGTCTACTGTCCGTAATAAGCTTGAGCCCAAACATCAACATCAAGTGCTTGTTTACGGTCTCGGTCGGAGGGAGCTTAAGCCTCGCCATGTGTCCGTGGGTGTGCGTCTTTGTGCGCGCTGTGTGTGTGTGTGTGTGTGTGTGTGTGTGTGAATCCCTATCTGTTTTATCCGTCTATCAGGGATGCTACTTCAGATGTAATTTGTTCCAGCCGAGCTAATTGAAACATCTATTCAGGGAGCTGCTGCGGACATTGTCCGCGCTGAAAAGGCGACGGTCCTTTCTCCCGCCACCATTGTTTGGGAATGTAATGAATTTTATGTTGCTGCCGCTGCCGGTAGAGAAATCCATTTTTCTCTCCTGGTCCCAGTCCTTTTGTCGTGCCTCCCCACCCATCCTTCAGTTCATCAAAAGCCACTTTATCTGCCAATCTGCGGCGAGGGAATGACATTATTAGGAGGCTAAACAGCAGCTCTAATACAAGCCCTCCCTCCTCTTTCAGATCTGTACAAAAACGGACTTCAGAGGGACACCTTCCTACCTTTCATCGACGTGCTAAAGGTAGAGACAAAGTCATCCCTCTCTCTTGTCTGGTTAATTAATTCATTTGTCTATCTCACACACGCGCACACACACACACACACACACACACACACACACACACACACACACACACACGGTTGCATGTGCGCCTCATCCCTCTGTGTCCGTCTTGCAAGTTGCCATTTAGTGGTTTGATGTTGTGTGCTTCCCGGATGCCTCGCGCAGTGTCACAAAGCTGTCTTTGATCATACCAGGCCTCGGGGAGGAAGGAAAGGGAGCGAGGGAGCACAGGTAATGTGAAAGAGAGACAGGCGGATGAGCTGAGTGACTGACCCAGACTGCTTGCATTTCAAAAGTAAAGGGGAGGAGGGGGAGGAGGGGGAGGGGGAGGGGGGGGGGTGGAAGGGGAGGCGAGAGGAGATGAGCGATGTGGTGGTTAGCATTTCCAGCAAAAAATCTGCTTTGCAATTTAAGCAGGTAGCACCATTATCCCGGCTGCATCTCAGGCGATCATTGATGTGTTTGGAGTGATCATGATCATAAATAATTGCATAATAATTTCCTGTCATGCATTTTGCAGCAGAGGAGGGCAGCATTCTTGCACCTTTTATTGGTATTTAGTCTAAACAGTAATGGCAATAACCTACTGAAGCGTATGAGGCCACAAATGTGCCGTGGCTTCTTAGACTATATATTAGAAAAACTTACTTAAAGCAAACTAAGGTCATGTAAAATGTGTGTACATTTTTTTCAGCAAAGGTCTTGCTGAATTACACCAATATAATTGAGTAGAAAAAAACACTGTTCTTCTGAAAATGAGTTTCATTTCATGGCTTTTAACATTTAAATAATAATAGTAAAGCACAACACTGGTGCTCTTAACAACCGTGCCAGTTCTGATCATTAGAGCTCCACTTTATCTTTATCAAACACACACCAACGTACGCGCACTACAACCCTTGGGGGGGTGGCGGGGAGGGGGGGTCCTGGAGTCACGCTGCTCCCCACCCACTCTTCCGGCAGCACCCTTGCCCTCTCTAATCCACCCTTATCAAGGTCCTGAATGCCTGTTGTCCCTTTCTGCCCCGAACCAACCTCCTCTCTTTCAGGGTTCCATGTTCCCCTTTGTGAGGCCATCTGGTTTTTGGGGTTGGGGTTGGGGGGGGGTTCGCTCTCCCCATCTGACCGTCCTGTGAAGTTAGAGCATGTTTTAGCGAGGTCACGCCGCTAACTAGCTGACCCTTGGTGGATTGAATTAATGCTGGCAGGGTCCTCCTCCCTGGTGCAGCGCGCCTGCCTGTGCTTCCATAGCGGGAGAGGGAGTGAATGAGGGTGTTAAAAAAAAAAAGTACGAAAATAGCCTCTGACCTCTCCTCCCTATCACCTGAGCCGGAGTGCGAGAGGTTAATCTGCTGCTTGTGTCCGCCTGGGTTGACATCTGTATTTAACTATTGACTTCTGATTAGTTTGGACCCCCTTTCCTCTCAAATCCATCATCCCCTAGTTTCCTTGTGGCAGTAAAAAGGAACTAATTAAATCAAGTAGAAATGTTCTGGTTGACTCACTTGCCAGACATGGGAAGCACGTCATCTCCCCAAACCTAAAAGTCTCTTGCTGCTTTTTCGATTTTTAGTACCTTTTCTAGTTTGTCCATCCACTCAGTCATTTGTAATTTCTTGTCCTTTTAGTGTCTCTGTGTAGACTACATCAGGGAACCCATTCAGTTGTTGGGGCTTTTTTTTCCCTCTCTTTGTAGCCATGGCAGAGCTCAGAGTTCTGCAAAATACAGGGTTTAAGGGCTTTTTTTTAATGGATACCGCGAGTATTGTAACGAAGACACTCTTTCTCTCTCACAAACTGTCCTCCCTCTCCACTCCACTCCTCGTCGCCCATCCTCTCTCTAGCCCTCCATCCCCGCTCTTTATTCTATTACTATCCCTGCTCGCTGGCTTTACTTACCCAAGGTCAGGCCTCTGTATTTTGGTAGCATAGTGACTTTACAATGCCTGCCGAGGGGAGGAAAACATGACAACAACCCTGAGGCCATTTTGAGTATCTGCGTTTCCGGCTGTTTTTAACCTTTCTTTTGATCCACTCTCCTTCCCCTTTTTTTTGTCTCATTGTTAATAATTGCTGTGTGCTGTGCGGTTGCTGATGAGATTTAAAAAAAAAAAAAAAAAAAAACGGGATGATAAAGAAAGAAAAGTGAAGACTGAGAGGGCCGTGGTCCTCCAATGGAGACCTTGGTGAGGAGGACTGCCTGTGAAGAGCCTGCCAGTTCAAATCAAATTAATGTTGATATTTGATGACTCTCGTTGTCTTCCACAGCGCTTGATGGCGGGGCCGTGCCGCTCTCATTATGCCTCGAGGGCGTACCTCACTTTTTCATATTAGTGCCTCGCCTCGGCAAAACCGAACAATTAATACGGGGCAAATCTGTTTTTTCTCCGTTTGATCGCAATGAATGAGTTCCAGTATTTATCGCCTAATTTGGGATCGATCCAGTTACCCGCCGCATGGCCGATGTCTTCCCACTGTTTTATTGTAAGCGCGTGAAATGTGTTTGATCGAGCACAAAGGCGCTTTATTCGCTCCAGTATGTGTTGATTTGTAAAGCAGGCCACCTGCAATGTGAAGGCAACGGTTAATTCAGAGATGTCGCCGAGCCTCATTAACATGTATATTTAAAACCTCTGTCCGACTCTCGATCGAGCCGCTCGCCTCTTGATGTTCTGCCTTGTTGTCACATTTGTAATATCGTAATATCGGGTGTACTGTGTGGTCATGACATTATTCAGTCCTAACACTCAGTATGATGAACGCTTTCTAGATGTTATGGGTGGAAAGAGATTCTCTTTTTATGAAGATACACTTGTTTACAGGAGCATAAGCAGATCTTTCACATCTCAGTAATAGATTGTTGGTGACGTTAGTACTCACATAACACAACTGTCAGGTAAAAAGGAAACTACATGAAATTGATAATAGTGGCGGACTAAAAAACAAATTGATAAATGTAAAGAAAAGAGTATTTAGTGTGTGTTTACTGCAGATAGTGAATAATAATAATAAGACAACTAATTAACATCACCCGCTTCGCCAGATGCAAGATGTGTCACTCCTGATCACAATACTCTTAATACTAAAAAACACTGTTGCACCGTTTTGTTGCAAAGTGAAACTCGTGAACCATCTGAGGTTTGAGAGTCTCTCATCTCTGCTCGAGGCGTCTCTAAATCTAAACCGCTACTCTCTAATTTCCAAAAGAACGGCGGGTTGTTTTTGGACCGGGGAGACGACGGAGTTCCGCTGTATTTTACATTGCGTGTGTCAACAGTCCATCGTCAACCTGCCTCCTTGTCGAGGGGGGACCCGCTCAGCCTGTGAAGGTTGGCTGAGTCGACGCCACACCGGATCGGGCCCGTTCAGCGCGGCTCAGGGCCGAAGCGCTTCGCCGCCGTTGGCCAGGTGCAGGTAGCGGCGACTCCACGCGGATTTCGGGGGGGGGGCGGTCTGGTTTTGGGCCCCATTTGGAGCTCGAGAGGGGTTGAGGGTGGGGGGTCCAGTGGGGTCCGGGATCACGAAAAGGTGGGGCCTGCAACTCAAAAGATGTTTCCCCAAGAGGAGCGGGCGAGGCAGGGGGAGGTTGTGAGAACGACCCCTCAGAACAAACCGTCGCTGGCCCAAGGCGGTCACACTTTAAGGGAATAGATCATTAGGTGTAATTAGGGTGTTCACATTGTCACGTACCCCCCCCACCCCCCCCTCCCTCCCTCCCGTCCTCCCTCCTCCTCCCCGGCTGCCCAAGAATGAATAAAATCACCAGATACACCCCCACTCGCACACACACAGCAGCTCCCGAGTTACTGAAAACACTTTGATGTCAGAAGAGTCGTCCAGAACTTGCCGGCATAAAGGCAGTGTTTTAAGCTTTCTCTCTTTCCTCCCCCGTCTCTCTCGACCCCTCCATCCCTCCCGCCCCCTTTTCTTCTGTCCTTCCACACAAGGCTGTAAGACACACATGGTTGAATGGACGACAACCTTTCTCCCCCGTCCCCCCTTCGTCTCTTTTTCAGCCTTCCCACCCCGCATTTCTTTGAGGCCTGGTCAATTCTCTGGGCCAAACAAAAAAAAGCATCAAATGTTTTCTGCTGCCGGGTAATGAGGGAGTGGACCTCATCAGGGCCCAATAGTCAGCTATCCTTGGCTTTTGTTGCAGCTCAATAGCACCGCGCTCTTTGAAAAAACTCAAAAGCAACTTTTTGAGGAGTAAAGGACGGAGGGAGATATGGCGTGTAGAGGGAGCGGGCGCTGGGGGGGGCAGCGACAAATAAAATAAAAAGAAGGAAAAAAGCCACTCTGTTTTTATGCTAAGCGGCTGTCCAGAGGGAGCAGTGGACAGCTTGGACAATGACATGATTGGAGCTACATGTGTTTGGATGACTTTCTTCTAAAGAGACTGTGATTCTCATGTCTGTCATCTCGCTCTCGCTCTCTCTCGCTCTCTCTCTCTCTCTCTCTCTCTCTCTCTCTCTCTCTCTCTTTTCAGCCCCTCTTGTGTCCGTGAGCTTGTGAACGCCGTCGAGCGAGTGGTCGAACTCTTAATGCTTCCACGCTGCGTCTCTGTGGGCCGGCCGCGTATGGGACTAGTTTTCACACCACTCGTACAAAAAGCCAATGTTACGGCGTGACTATTGGCGAGAATTTAAAAAAAGGAACTGTTGAGTTATTTCTTTACTAATTGAATCTGTCAATTTCATTCTTTTTTAAATTAGAGTTAGGTATTAAAAATGTCAGAAAATAATTGAGAAACGCCCTTGATAAATGCTCAATGTGACCACCACAGATTGCTCTTATTGTGCAACCAGCAGTTCAAAACCCCCAAAATATTCCGTTTGCCATGAAAATGACATATTCTTTTGAGAAGGGGGAAAAAAAAAAAAATTATCCAGTTTCCAATGCAGTTTTCCCACAGCTCAAGGGTAACTTTTTGGGGGCAATTGTTCAATTATAAAGTTTCAGCCAATTCAGTTTGTGTTAATCAACTCAACAATTTAGGTTCAGGTGAGTTGGACTTCACTTCATCTTGAGCCACTTTTCCAAATAGAAAAGTATTTTTAGAACGGCTAAAGTCAACACAGGCCTTAGCGTACGGAAGAAATTGGTCATTTGACCATTGCAATATAAAAAACAATCCAGATTAATAGTGTCTGTTATATTTGGTTCATTAGGCGCAAATGTAATTTGGAGTAAGTGAGTTAACTGAGCAGGTATCGTCAAAAAGTGACTTCAACATCTTCGACATCTTTAGCGTGTATATATGTTCCTCCATGGATGGATAGATAGATATCTATATTGTTGCTGTCCTGCTGTACGGCACGACATACAGAATAAGCCGAGTGGGAGACACTAAGTGGCCAACTAGACTGAGTGAGTGTGTGAGGGGAGGGTGGAGGTGTGGGGGGGGGGGGATCACAATGCGTGGGCGGATGAAATCTTGGAGGAGTGAGAACTTGACAATCCCCTCAAGATGGCTAATCAAGTAATGACCTGCAAGGCCTCGGCCTTATCTGATTATTAATAACCAATGGAATCATCACCGCTGATTGTGTTTCCAGTCCTCCCGTCTTTCTGTCCCTCTCTCTCTCTCTCTCTCTTATTTGCGCCTCGTCTTCTCCGTCAACCGAAATGCATCCACCGCCTTTTACCGCAGGTGGAGACGGCGGAAGAAAAAGACAAACTGAGACTCTTAATGATGTGGCTGCGATAGTGACAAGTTTTTTTTTTTTGTTGTTTTTTTTCTCCCCCCGATTTCGGAGGGACTATTTACCGGTTGGCGGGGTCACAGTAGGTTGATGAAATGACACCTCCCTATTGTGCGTGGGGGAGGGCGAGTTTGTCAGGTTGTTATTAAGCCTGATTCAGCCAATTGGCTCAGAGTGGGAACCCCCCGTTTGTGTGAGCGGACACGGAGATAAAAAGTTGACAGCGGAGAAGAATAGACTATTTCCGTCCCCTTGCTATGTGATGATTACTAATTATCCTGCAGCTTAAGAGGGCCAGTGGTAGAAATTCGCTGATTTCATAATTTCCCCCCCCCCCCCGAGCTGTCGTTACTCAGTCAGCCGGCTTTGATGGGATGATATTCAATTCTTTTCTTCTCTTTGATAGAACGCTGGAGATGATGATTACAGTTTGTGGTGCTCTCCCTGACATGAATCCTGTTGACGTTTTACACTATGCGGAAAAGTTTGAACCCTGCATCACAAGTTCAGCCCGCTGAAACGCACTTGAATGGCTGCAGGAACAATGGATCGGCTCCGTAAACCACGAAGACGCGTCACGGCAGTGACTTGCTGTTGAATTTGTTAACTTTTTTTCTTATTTGCTCTTTTTGTCCTCGACAGACGAGAAGTAGAGAACTGTATATTTATATTGTTGTCGCAGACTAAAGTTTCTCAGGCTGAGAGTAACGAATAGACACCTTCGCACAAACTGTGACTCAAACAAAAACCCAATTGGAAATCACTGAATTTTAGTGAAAGTTGGTGCCACACTGAAATAACATAAATAAGCACAAGTTGGGGCTATTGCGTATTTCCTGACCGTATGAGATGATACAAAATGATGATATAAAAGGGGGGAAGTTGCAACGTGTTGCAGAAAAACAAAAGCATTGTTGGTTTTGTTCTTTTCAATGGATTTTTTTGAGAAGAAATTAAAATAGAAATACTATTTCCATACATGCAGGGAAATGTGTGAAAAAAATATGTATAATGTAAAAAAAATATAACCTACTCCTATAGAGTGTCTTAACTAAAATGTCTTATGTATGTTATGTGATAATTATTACCCTAAAGTTATACTTTTCCTTCAAGCATTTCTTTTAAATATAGACTGGCTTACTTTGAATATTTACTGTTGAGCGACTTTTCATTTGTCTTACTGTATGTCTGTGTTTTGTGTTAATGCTTGTGCGTGTGCAGGAGTACTGCCACACAATCCGTCTCGACTCGGGTACCGACTACAGGAGGCTGAACAACGCTGCAGCCGTAAAACACTACTACCTGTAAGACACACACACACACACACACACACACTCACACACACACTGATAATGCATCCAGCTCAACTCTAAAGCTGAGCAGAGGTCTGGTAAAGAGTCAACATTAACTTGCATCCACAACATGCGCACGCACACACACACACACACACACACAGGAAATGTTTTTGCACATCATCGAGAATTTTTTTTTTTAAAGGGCAGTAAGAGATACACAAATGGGGAGAAACAATCTCTGAGATGTATAAAGAGCCTCATTACCACGAGCGATCCATGAAAAGAGGAAAGAGGAATCAATAGAACATGAGAAAAAGGTAGAGATTTAAAAGCCAGCTTTCTATCTGCGTCATTACGCGCACGCTGTTAGGAGCGAGGTATGAATGGCACCGCTGTGGCTCATCGCCGTATTGGAGCTTTCAAGTGCTTTCGTCCTTTCTCTGTATGTAAATAGAGCACAACACCCATTATTACATTGAGTTAAAACACAATCCCAATAACAGACACAAACACGCGCACTATACAATCTCATTTGACGTGTATTCACAGGCTAATGCTCAGGTTTAGAGCCCGACATCCTATTTTTTTTACCCGTTTGGAGTGAAAAGCTAAGTACACCCATCCTCCGGCGCACTCTTTTCCTGCCATCGTTTGATGTGGCCACTTCAACGTTATTAATGTCCTTTTTCCTTTTTGTCTTCTCCGGTGTGTTGCGCGTGCGTCTTGTTCAGCTCGGGGGAGCCTGGCGCGGCGGCCTTCCTGGATGCGCTGTTCGAGGAGCTGGCCTCGGGTCAAAAGAGCGGTAGGGAAGTTAACGCCATCTTCAGACGACGCGTACTGCGTGTGTACTGTCAATAATTTACACTGACGCCAAACTCTTCAGTGATAAGGTATATAAGGTAGTCATCTCTACAGCCAATTACTCCTGAACTTAACAAATCACATCGGTTTAAAAAAAAATAAGCACGACAGGTAAGAGGAAAATGTTTTATGGTTGCGCAGTAACATTTTTGGGGGGGGTTTTCAAACACATTTTAATTTTACAAATTGATTACAACTGTTTTTTCTTGTACTGATCCATCTGAAACCTCTGGACAAATTGTAGAGAAATCTGCATATTAAATTAATAAAAGCGGGAGAAAATGAGGAGGATTTTCCCCATGTTTAGGATTAATTCATTTCTTAGTAGATGTATTTTTAATAGGATTCAACTGTTACAGTTTGACGATATTTGTATTATTGGGTGTGTGTTTCCATAGTTACAGGCCCTCGGTTGCTCACAGTTCTGGGCAGAGACGTGAGGCTGGAAAAGACCTGTGGCTCCATCGCTGACTGTAGTTTTGATGAGCTGTGTGGCAAAGTGAGTGTTTTATCCTGATTTGTTTGGTCTTATAATCCTGTGATTGTAAAACAACACTGAGAATTAGTATAGTTGTCCTCAACGTTTGTCCTCAATGTGTTTGCAACCCACGTTACAAGAAAAAGACAACGTAAATGAGTAATTGCAGTAAAGGTACACTTACGATGCAGGAAGGGCGCACAGATTTTACTTGCACGCACGCTCACTCACACAGACAGACACACACGGACACAGTTCATTCTCACACACACAATCCACTCACCACTAATCAAAACTGCTCAAATTCAAAGCACTTCTCTTGCCTCTTTATTATGCTGTTTCTTCCCGCCTGTGTGTACTTATTGTCGTGTACTTATAAGCCAGTGCTCTTAAGCTGAATCACCTTCCCTCAATCTCAGTCCTATTTTCTGCTCAATGTCAAAAAGCAGTCTATTGACGATTTAGTGAATAGTTAAGCCTGTTGTGTCTCAAATAAAGCAGCGCGGTACATCAATCTGCCGCGCGTGTTCAAGCCTCAAGCCTGATGGACAGCGGTGAGCTTTTGCAGGCATCTGAGCTTCAAGGCTCCCTCTTCCATCCGACGACATGCCGCACGTTGGCATGTCCACTTTCATTTTGAGAGCACTCATCCTGAATGGCAGAGCGACCAAGGACAGGGACTGAACATCAGCCCGAGGCTTTTGCACAAGATGCCCCATCGTACAGCCGATGCAGCCACACTGCAGCACTCACATTGTGGGCGCGCGTGCATCTGCGCCATGCTGAAAGCATTTACCCTCCGTTCTGCGACGTGCCGCTGTCATTCAGAAGCTCTTGTAACACGCTCGCTTCTTTTCTCAGCCTCTGGGTGCCAGCGACTACCTGGAAATGGCGCGGCTCTTTGACACGGTATTCATTCGCCACGTTCCGATCCTGACGCTGACCCTGAAGGACCAGGCCAGGCGCTTCACCACCCTCGTTGACAACTTCTACGACAACAAGGTGCCCCATCCGGTTGAAAAACTGAAGTGTAACGTGTCGCGCCACCCATCCGGGGTTCTGTGAGGCCGCGTGCAGCCCGAAGAGCACCTGAGCAGACACCGTGACCACGAACGTTGCAGCTCCAGTTAGACTGTGCATGCTGCAGCCCATAGCTCAAGACCTCGTCCCAGCCATCATTCAATAGCCTCCACGCACACCGCTCACACGACCCGTCAGATCGGCTCTCTTCTCGATGGCCGTTCAGAACCACGTACAGTAAAACAACCAGACATGAAAACAGTTTCTTCTCGCAGGTCATCACATGGATGCATAAATGCACGTATATGTTTAAGAGCCACCTATGTAGTGTATGTATAAAAAAAACTGTTCGCGTTATCATTAATAATAGAGAAAGTAACCTTGATCAATAATTCAGACATTCCTCTGTCTCTGTTATTCCCCTTCATGCACCAGGTGAGAGTGGTGCTGCTGGCAGCTTCGCCTCTAGAGCGGCTGTTTGTCCACACCGGAGGGGACAATGAGAGGGACAGACAACTGCTGGATGACCTGGGCCTCAGCGGGGTAAAGCTATAACCATCACTTCCTCTCACTAACGAATGCAAGCTATTCTAAAGACCGCAACATCTGTAAATCACAGCACTGTTTTCTCTTTAAACGATTCGTCAAACTTTATTTCAGACTCAGGGTCCAGATAACGTTAAATAGAATCAAATAAAATACCTCCTTTCAGTTCAGTTGCCATCATAGATGGCTGCACTTTAATTAGAATAAAAGTCATAAAAACTGACACATGACATTGTGGGTGTGAGTATTCCTGAAAAAAAGAGGCTGTTGCTCTCACATTGATCCTGCGTGTCCAGGAATCAAAGCAGCCACCTTTTGCTGCCGCTATCCAGTTCCTCTGCCCGAAATAAGTTTCATTTTGAGTTTGATTTGAGTGTGTCAGCCATTCACACCGGCCTCGGTTCCCCTCTTCAGGAGGCCGCCGAGCGCCTCACGCTGTTCACGGCCGAGGAGGAGATCTTTGCCTTCCAAAGGACCGTCTCCAGACTGACGGAGATGCAAACGGAGTCCTACTGGATGAAGGGAGACCGCAGACACACCAGGAAACCCACCAGCACCTGACATCCACCGCTGACCGCCTCATAATCACATAAACCTCCAGACAGCGAATGCTGCTCAAGAGAAGTTCAGAATCAGCGCGAGGAAAAAAAAAAGACTTGATAGCCGCAGTAAATATATAGCAAAAAAAAATGAAACCTGTCTTGGATTTAGATCCGACTGATCTCATGCATGTGTGTTGTACCTTTTTTACTGTGTGGTCCTCTTCTAAGAGGAGTGCTCTCTCCCCCTTGTGGAATATTTTCTTTAAAGAATATGGAAACCTCCCCAACATGTTGAAACTACAAGGGAAACAGGTGTTCTCACTCACCTCGGAGCAGTTGGCTGCCTCCCTCTGGTGGACAAATGTGAGAATTGTTTTCAAGAACAATTTTTGTTCTCTGTGGTCTGTGTAAATTTACGTTACATTACAGGTAATTTAGCTGGCGCTTTTATCCAAAGCGACTTTTTAACCCATGGTGTTTACATTTTTGCCCGGGGGAGCAATTATTAATAATTAAGACAGACACAAACTTCACTACATTTACAAATTGTCGATGTTTCTTTTAAGTGTAAGAGTTGACAAAATGTGATAATTTCAGAGTAGGAAAATTGCTATTTATATTTAATTACTCTGCATTGGAGGGGCCTCTTCTATGTGTTTTTCTTGTTACCCTACAAAAATATATAAATATATACTGGAGCCATGCAGACATATTTGATACTTTTGACAGTTTGATTAAGGTAAAAGATTTTCTGTTTCTGTGTTTAACGATTCAAAATGTATATGACAAACACCACAACGCTTAAATTGCAATATAATTAAAAGAAAAATATAAGCAGGAACATCTTCCGTTTTTCATCTCTAGTTACAATGGGCAGATATTTTGTGTGTGCGGTTGTGGAGATTCCTGCCGAGTGCCTGTAGGTGGCAGCAGAGCGCAACACATTGCTACAAGGTTTGTTATTGCGTCCATCTAAGGATGAGGTCATTGTAGTGCACCATTCTAGCCTGGACCAGCCCCTGATAACTACAGTCACAACGGCCAGCAACACCTACATCATCCAAACCGCGTGCATTGTAGAAGATACTGGGTTTACACCAAGCAGCTGAAGTACAAGCACCCCAGAGTAAAGATTGTGTGCAGGTGTGCGCACGGATGCATGCACATGTCTGTTTTTTCGTCTATGGGTCCTGCAGCAACGCTGCGTTATAGCTCTCAAAGGGGCTTCTAAGGCAGAGTTATCTTTTCCCGTGCGAAATATAGTGGCCAAATGCCAGGCGTGCTGCAGCGGGGTATCGATGGTGAACGTCTGGTTTCATATGACGACACACTGCTCAAAAAAAACAACCTGGAAACTTAAATATGCAGGTACAAAACTAAGAATGTCCAAAATGTCTGTAGGCTTCAGACGAGGAGGGGGAGCTCGATGGGATGCACTCAATAATGAAATACTGGTGCTCTTGAAGGAAAGGGGTTGAACTCTTCAAAGAGAATACCCAAAGAGCACTGCAGGCAGCCCCATGTACAGAAACATTAGCGATGGGATTTTTGACAAAGACAAATTTTATAGTAGTACAATAGTTTAAAACTCTACAGGTCTGCTTATTGTTTGTTTAAAAGGAAACCAAATGAATCATATTCTTTACTCAATAGGCACTAAAACCACTTATCTTTATCTGTACTTAAAATATCTTGGGCGGGTACAGTTGACTACATAACACATTTCTCCACACGCACACACACACACACACACACACACATTCTCAGACACCACAACCTCCCTCTGTACATCCAGTGAATGGTTAACTGTATACTGTGGGAGTCAAACTGCTGCATCAGGTATTCTCTTTGATGTGAAGGGGAACAAAAACCAGCACACAATATGTGGTACAGCCACCGACTCTCTGCCTGTAAGCCTGTACAGTATTCAGGCTCCAGACTCTGTACACGAGCGTCTGTGTTCTGGGCCAATCTGCCTGGTTGAATAGAAGTCACTGAACACAATTACACAATAATGTGCGGCTATTTGAGAGCGCATGGAAATAAGGAATAAAAGGAAATGAACTGCAATAATTGCCCAAAACATACAATAACTGTAATATCCTAAATTGATATTATACATCATCGTGATGTCAAATAGTTAGAAAAAAGACGCTATGCATTGAAGTATCACATACATCAAATAAATCCATGATGTCATTCAGAAGGGACACTTCATTATGATCAGCTGCCGACGCGCATTCCAGCACACATACCACGAGCACGCGCATGCTAGACGCGCACCGTGCATGGCAGCCCTCGAAACAAAGAAGACCTGGACGAGGCTGTTTTGATCCGTAGGACGGGGAGGGGAGAGAGGGGGGGCGCGGAGGAGGAGGGAGGGAAGGGGGAGAGAGGGGTCCAGAACATCATTTTCAGGATGGAGCAGCATCTAGGATTTCTCCCATCACCTCTGGTTAGTGAACGGGATGACGTCATCCTGATCAAGGTGGGAAGGGCTCCAGAAGGGGGGGCGTGGCCTGAGCACCGCGACGGACATGATTGACAAACTGGTGCGCCGATTAAAGGCACAATCATCCGCCGCCAATGGAGCAACGAGAGGGTGACGTGAACGTACAAAAAGACATAGTGTCCAGCGTGTGGACGGACTTTGTCAATGAACTGAATAACTGAATGAGAAAATGTGTCCGAACTTCTGAGTGGCACTGCGGGTTAAAGCTAAAATCAGAGCAGGTTTTTCAAATGTTTTCTTTTAGAAGCACTTTCATGTCAGCAACATATGTATGACACGTGTTTTAATACACATGCACATACAAATACAATGTGTACAAAGTACAAGTACAAATTTAGTCATTAAAAAATGACATGAAGTTCAGAAGACTATCGGTCAACTTACTTCTCGGAAAAAGTTATGAATGTTTTTTGATTGATTAATTGATAATGACAGGTGTTCATTCACTTACAGTTCTCAGTAGCTTAAGAAAAAAGTAATAAATGGATAGCACAGCAAAACACCTTCAGTGCCTCCCCAGTCAAAACATTAAAAAAAAAAAATAATAATAAGAAATTCTAAAATAAATGTCACCAACATGTCAAGACGTGTCCCAGCTCCGTCCCGTTGGACTGTGTCTCTTTAAAAGGCGATCCCGTGCGCAGGATGCAGGGGGCTGGCCCTCGATTAGACTCCCATGCGCGTGTTTGCGTATGCACGTACGTGATTGTACGCGTGTGAGCGGGCGTGCATGTGAACGTGTGCGCGTGCACGTACGTGCATGTACGTGTGCGTGTGTGTGTGTGTGTGTGTGCGGGCGCGCGCTGCGTGGAGATACAGTAGTAACCCGTGTGAGTGAGGCGGCTGCCTTATATTGTGCATCGACGCTGGCTCGCGCTGCGTACTTTCAACGTGTCCCGGCATCGCGGAGCGCACTTGAGGAGCAGAAGGAGGAAAGAGTCAAGATGGCATCTGGAAGTGAACGATCCGGGATCTGATCTCTCTTTGGGGATTTTCTTTTTCTTTTCTTTTTTTTTGGGTGGGGGGGGGGAGCACCACGCAGCACATTACCGGCCGTGGTAGGTATTTTATTTGACAGAGGGATGATGATGATGAGCTTTCAGCACTTTCTCCTCAGGCATCGGACACCAGTGGGAGGATTCGGACGCGTGCACCAGGACGCTTTTTTTTTGCGTAGAGCTCCTAATCGTGAACATATAGTCTTTAGGAATAACTCTAATTGCAAGGCGATTTAAATCCTTGTTATTTTAAAGAAGTCATCAATCGGTGCTTCATTGACAGACATCGGTTGGACCTCCCGGGTCGCCTGCGCAGCGCTGTGTTCTAACTTGGCTCTCACCGAAAATGTGTTGGGCTCATTCTTCTGTCTTCATGTCTTCAACAGGCGTTCGTAACTAAGTTGCTCGTGGCCCGGCTGGGACTCCGCCGGCGTGGAATAGCAACAAAGGACGGGAGCGCGCATCCATGGGACGCGACTTTGACAGCTCCTCGTCTCTCGTCTTTTAACTTCATTACCCGGCAGCGGGGGTAAGGTTGCTATCGGAGAATAATGGCCGAGGCTTCGCTCCCGGACCCACCCCCGGATTTGGACGTGGCCATTGACCCGGACTTCGAGCCCCAGACGCGGCCCAGATCTTGCACCTGGCCGCTGCCGCGGCCGGACTCCAACGCGGCGAAACCGGAGAGCAACGACGCAGACATTATACCTGAGGAAGAGGACGACGAAGACGACGGCGCCAACCCTGCGTCGACCAGCGTCAATGGCTCGGGCTTGGCGACCGAGGACCAGAGCAGCAACAGCCCAGCGGCCGATGGCGCGCTCTCCTCCTCCGGCCAGGAGAGCGCAGGCTCCCCGCTCTCCGCGTACTCGCCGACGGCCGCCTCCGGCGCGCCGAACCCCGGCGGCTTGGCCGCCCAGCAGGCCCCGAGGAAAGCGTCATCTCGCCGTAACGCCTGGGGGAACCTCTCGTACGCCGACCTGATAACCAAAGCGATCGAGAGCGCGCCGGACAAGAGGCTGACGCTGTCTCAGATTTACGACTGGATGGTGAGATCCATCCCCTACTTCAAAGACAAAGGCGACAGCAACAGCTCTGCAGGATGGAAGGTAAGAGTCGCTCACCAACCCACCCGGCCGGCCGCCCCCCCTCCTTCCTCCATCAAAACAAAAACAAGAAAGCATGTGGCTTGTAAACCCACTGACGTACACACACACACACACACACACACACACACACACGGGCGCGCATCCATCCCCGCGCAGTCGCGTTTTTACGAGCGCTTATTTGGAAAGCCCGTTCCTCGTTGTACCTCTGCATCATTCTGATGGAAATGCGTTTGAAAACGCTGAGCACATGAGGTAGGGTGAGGGGGATCACATCAGGGAGGCACTTAGGATCAGTAATCTCTTTAAGCAGCGTGGGGTTTGGTGACCTTACACATACTCATCTCATAAATTGACCAGAACGCGGCATCCTGCACATAATCCCACACATTTAATAGACAAATTAGGCTGTGGATTGAAATTGCATCCAATGCGTCCTTTGTCTTTACTTCACGTGTGCATGATGTTCTTCCGAGGCCTCGGTCACATGTCTTTTGGCTGGAATTTCGAGCAGGCAGAAAGGTTGTAACCAGTTTGTCTGGAAACACAGGAGGCTATTTTGAGTGGCAACCCTGTTTAAGAGCTAAGAGAATGAAACAATTACATAAGACAGTTTACTGAACTGCAGCTAATCCATTAATACGACAAGGAACTGGATGTAAACAAAAGATTTAACATGCTCGGCGCATGCGTGTGATTAAATACCTCTGCCAAAATACAAATAAATCCACGTGATACGCCGTGTTTTTGTCACACCATGCTTTTTTTTTTCTTTGCTATCAGAGGCTAAATTTCCATCATGCTACCGTATCCACAGTGGGCCATTTGTTATGTAAACCTTGGCAGGGATCTGTCTCTCGGGTCAAGGTTGCTGATCCTGCTGCAGGGGAATCACAGAACTATTTGGATGCTGAGAGTTTAGATGAGCGGTAAAGGGGGGAAAAGCTTTTCGTTTCTTTTTTTTGGAAAGACAGCTATCCGGTCACCCATGAAGCGTAAGGCACCGGGGAGGAGGGAGGTGCAGAAGGTCAGAGGGCAGAGATTAACACCCGGAGGTTAGAGGCTAAAGGACCCGTTCCATGGGGCGTGGAGCCTGTAGGCCATATTTTGTAAGTGCTTCTCAAGTTATGTGATGTGATATGCTTCAGTGAAGAGCTAAGAGGGGCGGGGGGGTTCTGTGCGTAGTCAAGGCCGGGTTCACTGTCCCCGTTCAGGGCTGTTACTCCTGGAATTTCGGGCACGATGGCCAAGCTGTCAGTGGTTTAGTGTTACCCAAAGTCAATAAATCTCCTGTGGCCTTTTTTAAAGAAAGTTTCCTTTACAAGTGACTCTTTATCACGGACTATAGTTGTTTTTGTCTTCGTCGTGGTGGAGACGCGTAGGATGGCGCATTAATACCCAGGATGACGGCTCTCCACAGGTCCAAACGGACAAGCCGGCCCCTTCCAGCGTGGAGGCTTGAGCGGTTTTGTTAAAAAAGGTGTTTCGGAGGACTACCTCTGCTTTTTTTTTCAGTCCCGTCGCTCTCCATTTCTCTTACGCCGCTTACGTTTCACCCTCACACGGAGCCGGGTTCGAACACCTACAGCTTCGTGCAGCCAGGGCACCTTTTGTTGAGGAGATTTGCTGAGCAAATCCAAGTAATCCCCCTGCGGTTTCTCTCCCAGGTTCCCACTTAGCTCATTATTTTTCATATGTTTGTCAGTCAATCATTAAAACTGGTGAAAGGTAGATTGCCAAGTGCAACATTTCATCACCCTCGGGCCGCCATTAACTTGTAGAGTAAACTTTAAAAAATTAACACAAGGTTTGGTCATTTACTTTAGCAGAATTATATATATAACATTGATTTTACTTCCTTCTCATTTCTCAATCTCATTTAGGGCTATTCACCGAACCTCAGTGCTGTCAACGTTTACAATTTATTGTTTGACGAGTTAGTTCTTAAATGTTGGAGTGGTCAACACTTAAGCTGGTGCGAACAAATGCAACACAGCCAGCGTTCGAGGGGTCGGTGTGGTGCAGAGCTTGTGAAATGTGCAGTAAGCGAAGCTTCGGTATGGCGGGGAGTGTACAAGCTGCAACTCAAAATAGCACCTGTACATGCTTGTAGGTGCCTGTGTGTCTTTGCATAATCGGGAGATTAAGTGCACTTGTGTGTATCTGCGTGTCAGGCAGGTGTATTTTGTGCGTGTGTGTAAATATTTCTAGCAGCACTGAACCTTGGGCTCTGCTGTTACTTAACCCTGTTGTAACAGGCTCCCTGTTCCCAGCAGCTGCACATCCCAGGCCGAGTTATGTCACAGTGACACTCCACATAAACACACACACACACACACACACACACACACACACACACACACACACACACACACACACACACACACACACACACACACACACACATACTCACACGTCTGATATTCTCATTTAAAGTTATGCGGACTCAGCTCCCACTCACATGTACGGTACATAGAGTTCTGTCTACCTATATAAATAAAGTTTACTGTTGAAGTTTTCAAACGTGTTCCACTTTTACCTCACAGACCGACGCGCCCAGACATGTAGAGTGCATTTGCCCAGTCATGTTTGGGCTTATCACCAGTGTTCAGGACATTGAGCCTCTGCTGCGGAGTTTACCTCATTAGAACTCATTCATGAGATTACTTTAATCTTTAAGACTAAAGACCCGAGGTTTGCAACCAGTCGATGTTTTATGGCTTTGGATTTGGCGAACCTGGCGGCCTGTCGCCATCTTTTTTCTTTTGCAACCAGTGAATGGCCGGTGTCCGTATTTGTGTTCGTGAAGCAGAGCCGCCGTTAATTGCTCTGGGTTGCAGCAGGGACCTGTGAACCACGCTAAGCCCAGAGCATACTTTATGGTCTATTATACTCTAAATAGGATCTTCATTTTCTAAATGAACATCAGGTTGTATTGAACACAACTTGAAACTAGAGATAGTTACACCATAAAGTTACGTTCACAATGTCTTGGTTGAACATGTGCATTAGTCATTATGTGTTATGTTGTTTAACAGATGGGTATCTACAGGTACTTTCCATGCAGTACAATCCCCAAACAAGTGACTCATTACCACACATGTTAAACACACCTTTTCTCATTTAATCTGCCACTTTAAAGTGCTGCATCCATTGCACAACCATCAAACACACTGAGGCTGCCACTCTGCTCTCCCCCATGTGTTGTTGTGTGACGGTATAGATGTTGCTAATCATGTTTTAAAGCCTACCACGCTGATTCTTTGGGGCTGCAATTATGTATTGTTCGTATCAAAGCAGGACGAGGTTGACTAAACAAAACTCCTTTCATGGCTTTCCCCCAATGCAGAGTGGTCCACCATTAATATCCCTGCAAGACATGGCTACCGGTGTATAGAACTATAACTTTTGCTCATTATCTGAGAGCATGAGATACCCGGCCATTCTTATAATACTGAAGAAAATACTTAAAAAATGGAAAAAGATGCTGAAGAAATGGGGGACTGTTTTTTAGAATTTGTGTGTAATCAGAACACAATCAGGAGGCCCCTCAGATAAAACCTTACGGAACTGAAGAGAAAAAGGCAATAAAAAGGGGAGTGATGTGGGGGGGTAAGAGACAGTAAGAGTGTAGCAGCAGAAGGGAGGGGGGAGGTGAGGGGTAAATAGACAACCTTTGCTCTAAATTGGTGTATGCCATCTGCGCTGTGGCTCAGATGCCCAATGGAGGGGTCCGTGGTTGTGTGAGGCTGAAGGGCCGATGGGTTATGGGAACACACTCCCGCTCCCGACGCCCCTCGAAGTCTTTATAGTGTCAGTCAGAGCCCCGTGTGGAGGAGAAGCCCCAGGCGCTCTTCTAGTTCCACAATCAATCAATGAACAAATCTTTTCCTTCCCACATTATATCCATGTCCATTTTCTACTGTCCCGCTGTCTGGTCCTGCTGTTCTGTTTGCATGTCCAAGCACGTGACACATGATTTGTCATATTTTCCGTCACAAATACGCTGAAACCGGTTGTTGAAACTTACAGACAAACAGTAACAGGTTTTCCCAGTAATTTCTGTGTCCTCGCCAACCCCCACCATGTCACACTCTGCAATATCTGCTCCCCTCAAAGACACTTCTCAATTATTCAATGTGCTCGGGATGAATTCAGATGACAGTATTAATTTTTTAGAGCTTATTCTCGGCTAAGGGCTAAACCTCTTTCAATCTCTCTTTCCTTGCTCTAACTCCTTTTTCACTAGCCTCTCTCTCTCTCTCACACACATCCCTCATTTCTTGTCCTGCCAGCTCCCTCATTTGTCCGCATGTGAAACGCTGTGGTGTGCAAAAGCAAGCTGTCCGCCTGCAGCTCACTCCTCTGAAGCCCTACTCTTGAAATCAGTGGTGGGCTTTAATGAATGGAGTTAAATCTGGGGCCTCTGCCCTCGTTGGGCCCCATACTGCCTTCTTCTTGTATTTTTTCATGGCCATCATGGTAACACTGCAGCGTTTGCAGACACTTGAGATGTTATGGCCACACTGTTGTTGTTGCTGTGAAAATATGCGGATTGTACAATAAATAAATAGTCCTAAAACCTTGCTGGTCTGAGCTGATTTTGGAAATGACTAAGAATTGCTAATGCTTAGCCATCTCAAAAATGCACTTAAAATAGTTCATTACAGTATAAAAGCATAACGATGAAGTTTTAGTTCTCCATCAGATTCTTGAATCACCCACATTTCTTATCCTGATATGAAATGACCCTCACGCTACGAAACAATTGTTCAGTAGTCTACACGACATCCGACTGCACCGATCTGTTGGAGCCAGATAACGTAGCAAAGGGCACAGCTGAAGTTACAAGAATTCATCGAAAAAATTGTAGATTAACAAGACACGCAGTGAATTCCCTCGAAAAACACAAAGCAGGAGTTACTGACATGAGGACGAACACACAACGCGCTGCTCAGTGTTCCAGTGCAGAGGACGGCGGTGGTTTGTCCTGTGGTTAGAAA